CACAAACCCTCGACCACTCCCTCAAATTTTTATGCTCGAATTCGACTCCTTGGTCATATTTGTAACAACTATTTCTACCATCCTAATTGTACCTATGTCAAACCTGTATAGGTAAAAAGTGTTCAATTCAAAATATACTACAGCTGCTTAAGAATGATCACCATATTTAAGAACTACAAAAGATGATAGGCTTTGACTTTCAAAGTCAAATCAAAAGAAAATAAATTTATTAAGAATTCAAGATATTAAATTAGAAAAACAATTACTTACATGTATATATCTAAAAAGTCTTCGACCAGCATATGAATTTTGTTTAAGCTCATAATCTGATGTGGATCTAAATGGATGATCCTACAATTCTTTTAAAGTAATTATATATTTATGTACATTAAAGAAATAATACCTTATTATGTTTGATAAAACCTTACATGATTAAGTTATTAAATTAAATTTGCCTTAATCTCACCAAAACAGGTTGTAGCTAATTGTTTTGTAGCTTTATGAGCCCTGTGCAGTTTTCACCTAAACAAAAATTTGATATACCCAAAATTTCCCCAAATGGTAAAGAAGAGACTATCGCCCAAAATTATAGTGCTACTGTGCCCAACAAACGGCATAATGCTTATAAATGGAAATAAATTTCTTTTAATAATTTAAGAAAATTAGTGGGATCGCGGAATCACTGCAATGAATATGCCTGAGTTCATTTGCTCAGGAACAGACAGCTTCAGTCGAGTCGAGTTCGACAATTTTACCGACCGACCGACTCATTGCTTCTAAAATTTCCTCCGACCTCGACTGAGACCACTCCGACTCCACAGCCCTGCTAAAAGCAATTGTTTTGTCAAAACCACGCTTTACTGGCCAAGGCAGTCGCCTGTTAGTCACTTCATTCAACAAGTCTGTGACTTCATGATATAAAGTACAGTACAGTAATGTCTTTTAATAACATTGCAATACTTTTTACTTGTACAAATTTGTTCATAAATATTTTCATATGATTCTTTATATTGTATTCATAAACAGACTGTAACGAACACTTTGAGAATGAGTAATTTATTTATGCTGAATGATTATAATTACAATCATTGTGATTGACAACGAAGATTCAAGACTCTTCCCTGTCAATTGTGTTAAATTTCCCCGCGAAGGTTTGGGCCTTCCCGACAAAGGCGCTTGTGTCAGAGATAGGTCAAATTCGGCGCCATGATTTTACGCATGGTGGAAGTCTTCTTGGCCTTCCTTCACACTGTTTAGTAGTTTATAAATATGCTCATCCAATTGTAAACATGTATGTCAATTTTACTGAATAAGAACCCCATCATCATCCATTACAGTACGCAGCACAAACTTCAGCTTAGTGGCAATATACCAGATATCCCCCAATATTGACTTAACTGTCGGCGGCTCTGGTGACTCCAGCCTGACTTCTGGCGCCACCCCTGAATTTATGCATTTGAAATGCCTTAACTATGCTCCAGTGAACACCAAAGTTAGATTCCATTCACGCGGGTAGTGGTGGTTTCAAAAATTGATCATATTGATGTACACTGTTGTTTCCATTGGCATGGTTGCATTATATGCTTTCAGTACAGTACATTTCCAATTGGTCCTCAGCGATTGAAAACGAAATCAAGATGGAAACAGAGACGAGGGATAGGAATTTCACATTGTGGCGCTACTCAGTTCCTGTTTCATACACGCATTTCACCCAACAAAAATATTTCCTTTTGCATTTTCTTCATCCAGTTTCGCCTCACCAAAGTATTGTAGACCTAAATTTGACTGATTCAACATTATCTTATATACAAAACCAGGATAATTAATAGCCATGCACTGGGCGGTTTACCTTTCCTGTCCCACCAGCTAAGACAATTGGCAACTACAAATGAAACGGGTGTCCATTTTCCAAGGCAATTTAACGCACACGATACTGTGAACGCATTCGCAGACGATTTATGGAATCTTACCTAAGTTTTGTTCAATAAATACGGCAAAAAATGGGAGATAACTAATTTATGAGGAAAAATAATTTATAGATGATACTGGCTGCTTAGGCTACTACAAAATTGCCATAGACAATAGAATTTGATGGAATACACACTCTGTAAAATAAATTTCACTCTTTTCAGCCGCTCACGCTTGTTGGTCTATCCAGTGTTAATAATACCGAGTGCAGCAATCGCACTGGGAAATAGCAGTTAGAGTAGTTTTAGAGGAGTGTAATTTGGAAAGGAGAGACATCCATCTTTGCTAATAAAGACTAATGTTTAAATTTTACTTCACACTACCACTTGGTGTCATTTATTATTGCATCACTGAGTTTTCCTAAGGATTGTCATTTTGCAAAGTGATAACTGTCACAGAGTATGCTCAATAGTTGTAAAATGTAAACTCAGGAGCTCAGAATGTCGTAATGTAAACAAACATCAGTTGTATTTAGGAATATCAACACCAAAATATACATGTAAGCAATTTCATTGTAAATGTGATACTGCAGCGCTCAATTAAATTTAGTTATTTAACATGACTCATAGCATTTTATTTACAGAAGCATCCTTACATCGAAGTATGGATCCTGATTTTTTTACTTGATCAATGAAATTTCTGCTGAAGTCATCAGGCGAATCCATACATTTCGTGTGTGGTGCACATTGGGAAATTTGACAACTCAATAATTCCCTCCCAAAAAATGGGAGAGTTATTACAGTAGTCTTTTTTTTTCTTTTATTCTTCACCACTGATCGCTCAAGTAGCCGCTACATCGCCTGCCTTCTTGATTACTTTTCCCTTTTCTTTTATCCTCTTCACCAAAAGATCACCTATTAGCTGCTGGGCTATCGGTTACGCCTCTGTTACGCACTGTTGGCAGGCACTGGTCATGCAATCGCTCCTGAATATACCTGAACCCGCCTCCAGTGTTGTTCAAGTCTTGTCTTGAAAGAGCTCACACTGTGCCGCCACAACACTTCTGGTAGATTGTTCCAATAGTTCACAACTCCAAAAGTTTGTCCTCACAGTTTTCTGGACTTGGCGGCTTCTTCAATCTTGGTGCTGTGACTCCTAGGGGCGAAGGCCCGCCAGCTCCAAGTAAGGACACTGACTGATAATGCCCCCCTTGAGATGCTTATACACCCCAATTAGGTCACCCTGTCTGCCTGTAGTATAAGCTAGGCTAGTTCAGGCACTCCAATCTCTCAGGGTAGCTGAGGTGCCGGCGGCAGGGCACCAGCCCTGGTGGCCTCCTTGAACATTTTCAACCAACTGACAGTCCCTAGCATATCTCGGGACCAGGCGGGTGACAGTACTCCAAATGGGTAAGTACTTCACTCTTGAAGATCGTTAATGTAAGGATGGGCCATCTAGATATCTGAACGACTCCTTCTTATAAGACCCAATAATTTATTTGCCTGATTTACCTTCTTCGCAATGGCCCGAACTTCAGCTCATTGTCAACATACACACCTAGGTCCTTCTCACACATGCAGCCCTCAACTAGTGGCCAGCTTCTTCATCCTGTTGGGACATATACACGCCTTCCTTACCGCTGGTACCTAGGTGTATCCTCTCTCTTACACTCCCCGCGGACATTGAATCTCAGTATTATTTCTTTCTCGACTCATTCTTGGAGCCCACAGAGGTCCTTCTGCAGCTCTTCACAGTCCGCTTGGTTCTTGATTTCCACAATCCTACATACACAGCAAACATTTGTATGGAGGAGTGCAACATCAGGCAAGTCATTTATGAAACAAACAAACAAAAGCGGGCCTAATACACTGCCCTGTGGTACCCCGCCAGAGCAGGTAATGATGATGATTTCGCGGTCACTTATCACCACACACTGCTTCTGGCGGTCATGTAAGCCTCTATCCACGCTTAGACATTTCCTCAATTCGCGGCCCTTCCAGTTTGATTTTCAGCCTTTTGCAGTGTATACCGTCTAAAGCCTTGGGCAAAATCAGGTAAATATTGTCGAGACACACCCAGTTCCAGAATATGTGTCCAAATATCCAATACCTTGTGCAATTGTGTTAAGTACAGGATACCTCGCATAAAACCGTAGTTGCTGGCAACTTTTACAAGGTTGTTTCAGAGTAGATGTCTCCACAAGCGCATCTCTGGATAATACTCTCAAGTACTTTTACATACTATGCTGGTCAGGTCACCGGTTTATAGTTGTTCGTGGAGTGCCTACCGCCTTCTGAAGATAGGACTCACTACTACTCTTCCATTCACTGGGACCTTTGTTCATCCAGGCTTACAAAACAGGATCTTCTAGCCCTGGACAGCTTTATTTCTTTTACTAGTACCCTCTTCTGTGAACGAATGTGGGTCAGTGCTGTAACAACCGCCTGTCCTAAACGCGAGGAAGCAGCACTGCATCCTCTTGTGAACATCGGTGAAAAGAAACTGTTCAATGCCTCAGCTTTATCCTGGCTCGGAATCTGTGAACTACCATCTTCAAGCCTCAGGTCTGATACTCCTACTCGCTGCTTTTAATTTCTGACTTTGCATACCAGTAAAACGCCTTTGGGTTTGACTTGACCTCGCCAGTAACCAGCCTTTGGAACTCCTCTTTTCAGCCCTTTCTACACTCTATCTTTGCTTGTTCTGGCTCTTGCATACATCCTCCTGTCCTGCTCATATCATTTGACCCAACCCACGCCTTGAATTTCTGTTTTTTTCTTAACTCTGCTCTAATCAATATGTGGTTCATGTGTAGGATCCCCTGTGATTCCTAGAGGCATTGGGTTTGGTCTTGGGTATATATTTATCGCATCAAATGGATCACTTTACTAGTTATGATATTCAGCGTAGTGTCTGGCGCGTTTGTGCCTTAATGAGTCAGGCCAGTTGATACCTCTCATCTCTTCCCTCATCCCAATGTAATTTCCCTTGTAATATTTGCACCTTGGCCTGAACTATTATAGTGTAACGTCATGTATTATAAACCTTTCTAGTATACTTATACAATACAGTGTTCAAAATATCTCTTGCAGATTCTTGATAACTACAATGGCTATTCCTTGTCCAACTTCTGTGTGCCCAAGCATTATGAAGATGACTTGGAGGATATCATGATTCCTTGGGGACTCATCCAGGACAGGTGTTTAGACAGATTTCGTGGTGAAATATTTGCTATGTGGGAGGGCTGAGACACTGTCCGTGGATTTCTGAGAACAGATGTCTTATGATTATGGTTATACGAGTATTTTAGGTAGAGGTTCATGAAACTGTTATCACCCAAAGAAAATTGTAGAAGCATTTGGTTTAAATTTTTTGTAAACACTAATATATTAAACAGAAATGGAAACAATACATAGAACCTAATAGAACCTGATCTAACATACCCATAGGTTACTTTTACTTTTATCCTCTTCACCACTGATCAGCTCGTTAGCTGCTTGGGCGACGTCACGTCTCTGTTACTTTCTTTTTTCTTTTTATCTTCTTCACCAAATATGTAATGTCCTGTTTTGTAATAATAAATTCATTTTATAAGTTATTAGATATCTCCAGCCAGATGAATTATCCATAGATTTTATTGTACCCTGTACATGTGTACATGCTGCATCCCATTAATTGGCTCCTATGTGGACAGATTTCCATTCATGTTATTACCTGTATTTTGAAGTTCTAGAATTTGTGTGTAGTAAACTTTAATATGTAAATGAATGGTGCACCTAAAACAAATGTTACATTGAAGCTGGTAAGCCTGGTACAGTACTCGAGTCCCAGCATTTTTGTCATACCAAAGGCCAAACCAGAGCTGTAAGTCAGGGTAACCTCTTAAAAATATTTTTAAAGCAACCAAGCTTGGCCTACAGCTGATAGATATGGTAAAGGTGGAACAGATGGCTAACATGAGAAAGAGTTGTTCGATTTCAATCATTTTTTCCACACATGTTCTGTGGATGAAAGTAATAAAAACAATGTAACAATGCACAGAACTCATAGGAACTTGACCCAACCAACTCAACCAAAGAAACCTACCTAACTTATTAGCCAGCCCCGGACCCTTGTATATTAGAAAGACATTACATGTATTTTGAAACGCTTTGGTGTAATTTTATGTTTTTTTTTGTGGACTTGAGAGTACACTGAGTCCGGAAGGCATTTTGACCTTCAATTTCTCATCCTTTGTACCCAGCCCACTATAGGTGATTATTTCTGGTAGAAAACAAACCTTAAATTTTTATATTTTTGTACAATATAAATAATTTTTGTATTTAATTATACTACATATGATAATTTTAGGTTATCCCATTTTACTGGATTTCTTGGATCACTGATGAATCCAGGTATCCTTAAGGCGGCGGCACACTGGGCACTTTCCTCCAAACATGTTGCCCGTTTTGCTGGTCGCTGGCCTGACGGCCCAGCAAGGAGCAGGATTTTTGCTGTTGCGAGAAATGGACAACAGTTTGGCGGGGATCTTTGCTGGCCGGATTAGTGCTCAAATGAGCTTCATATAATTTCAAGTAAAAATTGAAATAAATCATGAAGCAATAATACGTAATTTAAAATATAACACATAAACGGTGACTTATTTACATTTATTCATCACTTTAAAACTTCTTCAGCTTGTTAAATCACTATTCAGGGCCTTTGACCAGCCAACCGCCGTCACTTTTAAAGAAACTTCAAGACTCACCCATTCTCTTTTCTTTAGCTTTTACAGATGTCTCACTTGCTTCAGCAATTGAAGAACTTTAGCACAATCCTTCAAGGCCTCAACTGTAGTAGCGGATCCACAATGAATCTCGTCTAGATGCTTTGTTGTTGTTTTTGTTGCGTTGGGCAGACGTGCCAACAAAGTACAGTATCACAGTGTGACGCAAAACGTCACTTTGTTTTGCTGGCCAGATCGTGTTTGCCAAACATGTGCCCAGTGTGCCGCCACATTTAGTTGTGTAGATCATTTTGTTTGGATTTGAATTGCTGTACAGCTTTTATTTAATGACATTTTCTATTTATGCCCAAACAAAAGGGTAATTCACAGAAAATTTAAAATTTTTCATCTGCGATAAAATAAAATTTTTGCATTATTACTGAAGGATTTTATTTTTTTATTTTGTATCTGTCTTAACAACTATGCTTTTAATCATTCTGCTGATGTGTTTGAAAACATTTGTTTTGTTTTTTTACTTTGTCTACAGAACAGAAAGACTGGCTCGGGATATTTTTCAGGATGTAAAAGACGAGCCCCTAACAGCTCTCTGCGTCCTTAAAGGTGGATACCGCTTCTTCACAGATTTACTGGACAAACTAACGACTCTGAATCGTTCCCAGGGCTCTGTGTCTGTGCCACTCTATGTTGACTTCATTAGACTAAAGAGTTATGAGGTATGAGTTTTTAAAATGGCAATATGTACAGTAATTTAAGAACACCTTTATCCTTATTATTTTCATGTACTTTGTTTGATGTGATCAGGGGTAGGAAAGTTCACAATATTGAAATGTACGATAATAAATTGTGTTAGTGTGTTAATACAGTATATGCATCAGGCTTCAATAAATTTTTTCCTCAGAATGCAGATTCTACTGGTAATATACTGGTTGTTGGGGGGACAACATGGTCAATCTGACTGGGCGCAATGTGCTGGTAGTTGAAGACATCATTGATACAGGACGCACGATGCAAAAACTTTTGGCCATCCTCGAGAATCATCAACCAAAGTCTGTCAAAGTAGCTTCTTTGTTAGTTAAGAGGCGGCCAAACTCTACTGGATATAGACCAAACTGTAAGTGAATTTAATCATTTATTACTTATACCCTGTATTTTGTTTAATGCAGGCTGACATTTTTAAACTTATTTGTTCATATTGTAATGAAAATGTCTTTGGACTTCAATTCCTGAAAGCTTTTTATTTTTTTGGAAACAGAGGTCGTAAGTGTCTATAGGTACAGTCAGGGTTGCTGAGAGCTGGCTAGGGCCACGGGAAAGATAAATTTATGGGTCCCCTTTACAGATATAATTGATAGTTACATGCCCCTTTTCCCAGACCCTAGGGATTTATCCCAGCTTCCCCACCCAATCGGTGGCCATGGGTACAGTACAGTACCCACTTTCAAGCACCATCCGAGCAGAGCATGTTACTTCTCAGGAGGCTTTGAGAGTTTTACAACAGGGACATATCCAAATGGACAGTGTTTTATTGCACTGCAAACACATCAGTTGTATGAGTCCAGATTCAGATCTTGAGACAAATGAGGGATCATGGTCCCTCATTTGTCTCATGATCTGTCTCTCCTGTACTGTATCAGATACAGTACTGTAATTCAGCTTCCTGCTCACTGTTAGACTGTTGGTACTGTACTTTCCAACTTAAAGTAAGCCCTAGGAACTGGTTAAGAGGAGCAGTGTACAGTATATTGTAAGCTTTTCTAATTAATGACTTTTACCACATAAATTTTTATTATACAGTAAACCCCAGATATAACGGACTTATTGGGGGGGAAGACCGGTCTGCTATATTCGGATCCGGAATAATAACAGATTGTGTCTGAGATACTTTAAACCAACATAGTCTGAAGTGACCATGTGTTTCACTTTTCACCACTAACACTCACCATCATCACCAACACTCACCATCATTACCAACTCTCACTATCACCACCACCACCAGTCACCATCACCAATGCATCACCAACCCTCAGCATCACCAATACTCACCATCACCAATGCTTCACCATCACCGCCAACACTCCACCACCAACACTCCATAATCACCAACACTCACCACCACCAACACTCACCACCACCAACACTCACCACCAACATCCCATCACCAACGCCACCACCACCAACAACACTCACTACCACCAACACTCACTACCATCACCAACACTCCACCATCACCAATACTCTCTACCACCACCAACACTGTCTACCATCACCAACACTCCACCAACACTTCACCATCACTCGCCACCAACACTCCACCACCACCAACACTCTCCACCACCACCAACACTCTCCACCACCACCAACACCCCACCACCACCAACACTCACCATACCAACACCCCCACCTCACCAACACTCTTCACCACCAACACTCTTCACCACCAACACTCACCACCACCAACATGAATGTGAATTATTATACACTGGTGAAAGTGGTGATAATAAGCTGTTTTATAGGGCTGCACACATCTCAAATCCTGATTGAGGAGCTAAGTTGTTCTGTTGGTGACTGCTTCTTTATGGTTGGGCTCTGAGCCTCTGATTCTAATGTGTTCAGATCATGTATTATATGGATCCAGGGGAGCCAGTTACTGCCCATCTTTCTATCTCAAACTGTACTTAAATGAAGTCTTTAAAACTTTGAACTGTAAAAGTAGAATACTGTATTAAGATGAATTTAAACTTAATTTTTGCCTTTAAGCATGTAGGATGAGTCTCAATGACTGATCAGTGCTTGTGTTTTAAAAATTTTGCCTTTGCACCATGATTTTTTGAGATAGAAAAGAATATAAGTGATTGCTAAATCATCATGAATGTAATGTTTATGATTAATAGCACTATAAAAAGCTATAAAATGGGCTACAAATGCCTAAAACTCTGTAAAACCAACATAATGGATTTTTTTTAACTAATGATTTTGCCATCCTTGGTTTTTCAGGGTCAATTTATGGTGTTTACGTGTTATTCTGGATGTACTTAAGTGGTTAAACATATTAAATTTAAATTCTTACTGTTTTGCCCATAATCTTGATCTCACCAATTTTGTTCATAATCTCAAAACCTGTATGTGTAATCTATGTAGATTTTACATACAAAAAATGGGGAGGGGGGGACTTGCAAAAGCAAAAGGGGCCATGTTAAAAAGTTTGGGAACCACTGCTACCGTAAACCAAAGAATTACACAGACTTTGTTCCTTTTCAGACTGTGGTTTTGAAATTCCAGACAAGTTTGTGGTGGGTTACGCTCTGGACTACAATGAGTACTTTAGAGATCTTAATGTAAGTAATTACTGTATTGTTTCCTGAGAATATAATTCTGTACATAAAATATATAGTAATCTCTCCGTTAGCCAGAATAATTGGTGCAGAGCTTTTCCAGGAATGAGAGACTTCTGGGTTATGAGACAAATCACTCAAACCCGGCTATGTTATTTGTTACTTATGTTTTTTTTACCTTGCATTATTTGATTTTAGTTTTTAAAGTCTTTATTTTAATTCGGTGACATATGACCTAAGCTGTTGCGCTGCCAGGGATGTAATTACCACAATCAATCAGTCGGTCTCAAACCCGGAAAAATCCCACTTCCCCGGAATTTTTCCGGCGACTTGGAAAAGTTTCCGAGAGTCTAAACTATGCATCTCACACGGACAGACACTATCCCATATCCCCAGAATGTTTCTAGGTGCTGGGGAAAATTTTCTGAGGGTCTAAGAGAGTCTAGACTACACATCTCATCTCAAATATAAGGTTCACATCTTATTTCACAAGGACAAACACTCCCATTACATTTAGACCGTGGACACAAGTGCAAATATTTATGGCTAGTGAAAAAGTGTATAAACTTTTATTCACATCATCTGTTCTAATTGTGTTAGAGAGATGAATTTGGTACCATAATGATCTTGAAAAAATGCTCTACAAGACAGTTTCAATAAAAGATCAGTAAAAAAATATTTTTATACAATATGATGGAACTCAATTATTTTATGAAGAAACATAAGAAATATTTTTACCAGAGTCTATAAAATCAGTTCAAATTTAGAAAAACCATTTTTTTATTAAAATAATCTTTAATACTTTTCTAAAAGTTTGGTTAGGTGAACATATTTAAACAACAAAAAATCTATATGATTCAGGCATGCGAGGCATGAATAGAGCTGTGACACCCCCAAGAGTGGAATTTTACACTCTGTACTGTACTGGGGAAAGTTTTCCCCAAGTCCAAACTATTCATCTCATGAGAGAACTGTGTTTATTTACACAAACACCTCTGAACACATACAATATATTGTAAATAAACAAAATAATGTATACTACTACTACTGTACTGTATACAGTATAGTGTACTCACCAGTGGCTGCTGTCGTCTTGAGCCTACATACAGTAAGCATACACTGTCCACTCTCCTGAATGTACAGTACAGTATACATGACTGTAATCACTTAGTACATCTTAACACTGGCGATGGAGGTTGGGTAGGGGATTAGTGGTGTCTCATGTTACTTATCTGACCCGATATCAGGTTACCCATTGTAAACTCCTCTCTCATTTGCAGTGGAGATGGGGTGGGGGATTTGTGATCTCGTTTTACTGACCTGCTGACCTGAAAATGTCTTGAATAAAGATGAATGCTAAGGTGCTCTTAGTGTTTCCCTTATACTGTAGAGTATTGTACATATGGTACTTTACACTTACTGAATGTGCAGTACAGTATAATGTAACTAATCACTTTTTATGTCTTAACACTGCTTTAACATTGTATTCAGAGCTGATTGTGTCCTGGTACAGTAATGTACAGTACTGCACAACGCAAATTGTATGCAAAAACAGCAGCTAGCGAGGAACATCCTTCTATAATGGCAGCAGAATATGAACTAAGTGTGCAAGCTACCAAAGCAGCTAGCTCACCCATGAACCTCGCACGTGGAGCTGCGGCAGAGCATGATGCAGTCTCTTGGTACTCCCTGAAAATTTACTACTCGGCCCCGAGTGGAAAGGTTTGGAGAAAATTTGGGGGAATTTTTCCTTGAAAATGACCCTGATTTTCATCCCCGGAAACTCATGAGCAGACCCGGAATAGAGAGAATTGTTCTTGACAAATTCCAGCCTGATTTCCATTCCAGCTATTGGAGAGTTCCAGGGACCAGGGATTCCAGCTAACGGGGATCTTACCGTAGTCACAAAATAAGAAAGTTTTATAGCCAACTAGTTTGCCTTTTGCTCGTCACTTAATTTGCTTAATAGCAAATAACACTGTCTTGCAGTTATGTACAGTATATTATTGAATAGCAGCATCTTATGCATCAAACAATAGTTAAATCTGTGCTTTGAAACTGGCAAGTTTTCAGTTGACTGCCCTAGGAGGATAAGTGTTAATTCACTCATTATTACCCAACTGCCTAAGTTAACAATTTGTATGATCCAGGGTGAAGGAATTATCCAAGAAGTCTACAACTCACCAACTGCATTGGCTAACTAATACCTCAGACACGATCTACAAATCTATTATTATCCAGGTTTCTAGTAACTGGTGGATAAATAGAGGCAAATGGTGTAAAGAAACTTGCATGGGATTTGAACTCAAAGCTACTCATGAGTATGCTGACCATTACCACAGGTTGCTTGACTGCATTGATTTTCTTCACAGCCCCATGACTCGCTAATCCCAGTGGTGTCTGGTTGATCAGTATCTGAATACTGTAAGTTCATAAATTTTCAGTCTTATAAACTCGACTTCTGGCATTTGTGTACCAACGCTTTATTGTCCCAGTGTGTATTGTTGTTATCCTAGAAATATGTGAGCCTTGAGAGTAAATAAAATCTTTCTCATTTATCATCATTATCAGTGGAGTAGTATTATTATTTAGGAATTAGAGCATGCACATTATATACCGGTACAGTTAGGTTGCCATTTGTCTTTACTGATGGGAGGGCTATAAGACTAGTTTATCCTTCTTATCATCCTGTATCCTGACTTCTTGCCTGCATTCTCATTATGGATTGCTGCATGACTTTCAGATTGTCCCCCAGTTCTTTTTCGTTTTTTTTTTCTGGCAAATTGTCAGGTTGGGGAAAATATAGATATTGTACTACAGTACCTGCATGGCTATCTTCTACAACAGTACTTGCTTAAGGTTTCATGCCTTTTTCATTATTGCCTATCTGTAATTAAGCTTGGGGATGGTGATTCTCACTAATTGTTTGCTTGTTTATCAAGTCTTTCCACACTTATGATGCATAGCTCATCCACAAAGTTAACCACTCTTTATAGCATATATGAGGAGCTCCGGACCATTATCTGTTAAGTGCCAAAATAGAAAATGAAGCAAAATGTTCAGGTAGGAAAGTGTGACATACAATATTCTTTTCAGAGGACTCTCACCCACATGTATAGGATCTCAGTCGGCTCTCTGACTTATCCAGGGGACAGGAGAGGTTGGGAAATACAATGCAATACATAACACGTTTCAGCGATATTTGGGTCTTAGCAGGTTATGGTCCGGAGCTCCTCTTATGCAATGGCATTTTCATGTGAATCTCTCTCATTCCTTTCTATAGTCTTTGTAATATAATGATCTTTGCATCAATCAATTTACAGTTACTTATTCAACTCATCCTGAAGATTTTTTATAACATTTCCTTTTGAATTCTTGAGAAATTCTTTAGAAATTCATGCTACTAAAGTGAAAGCAGGTTAATTTTCTTTCACATCAAAATACACTCTTTATGCTGCTTAGAAGAGCAAAAATGGTAACCATGGTGTTTTTGTCCAGTTCCAGCAATTAACCCTTTGAGGACAGTAATGGTAACTTGTGATCATTACCCGGTACCCACTGAACAGCGAATATTGAAAAGAAATCATAAAAGCATTTGAATCTTATAAACTCCTGATCTACACCACCCATTCTAATTGCACTCTTCATACATATGATTTTATAGGCATTTCTTTTTCTGTGATCAAATCTGGACAGTTGTGACACTGAAAAGTTTTTAGAATTAGTCGTACTTCACATATACCGTAAACATTTTAGCTCAGTTTGTTCACATGACACTAGACCTGCTCCATCCTGTTTCTTGGTGTTTTGGAACCTCACAGGTCACACACTGATCACCTGTAGCCTATGCATGTAGGATTGCAACATGAAATACTATATTTTTAGCAGAGGATTTCAGATTAATGGGATGCAGTGGATGAGTGGATAGAGCTCTCATGTCCTGTCTTAAAAGTCACTGGTTTGATCCCCAGGCACTCCTAGTCCACCGAGCTGTAAATGGGCACAGTACCTCGCTTTATATTTGGTGAAATGAAGTTGCTGGCTATACTGACTCCTTGCTTTCAGAAGATTTAGTATACAATGACCTCAGAGGACATTACTCAGTCGAGTGTTCATATCTGGAGCTGATGAATGCCTGCCCACTAGAGGTTATAGCTTGAGGTTAAAAAAGCCACAAGTTCAGAAAATTGTCTGGGCAACTGAGCAAGCGGTTATGGAGTGAGGGTTGTGAATTTTTGGAACAATCTGCCAGAGAGCATTGTGACGGCACTGAGTGTGAGTTCCTTAAAGACCAGAGTTGAACAACACTGGCACAGGCACAGATTCATTTTGTAACCAGTCCAGTACATGCTCAGTACTTGCCAAAAGTGTGTAACAGAGACATGACCGACTGCCCAAGTGGCTAATAAGCTGATTGGTGGTGAAGAGGATAAAGTATCCTGATGGACAGTCATGCTAGTGGGACGAACTTTTAACTCTTTCATGAGACGAGGGACCTGGTTTCCCTCCCTCCTTCCTTGGTGTTCCTTGTGAGCAAGAAAATGAGAGGTTCCGAGAATTAGAATCTTTATACTGTACTGCATTTAGCTGTCTAAGGTATCAAAGAGCAAGGAAACAAACTTTCCTTACGAGGTGAGCTTGTGATAGCTGTTTTGGTATCACACTAATTGTTTTAATTAAGTTCTGGAACTCTTTAAGTGGCAGGGCTTAATGTAAACACTTCTTGGTGTTTTCTGTTTTATTGCTGAAAGCAGGTTTTTTCACAGGTACAATCTGAGAAAATATATTGTGAATTCTTTCCAGGGAAGTGTTGTGAATATCACTTTGAGATAACACTTCTGTTAAGTGTGAATTTCCCTTTCTAGTGGTATTAAGTGAACTGCCTCTCTGGCATGAGAGAGTGATAGTGGAGCGAACGATGTTTACTGAATCAGTTGACCCTGTCTTGACCCGTGATAGATGCAACCTCAGTGATCTACTCGTAAATAACATGGTGAATAACTTGGTGTTATTCATTTGGGTGTATTTATATAAAGCAAAGGTGCTGTTACAAGCTTCTGTGGTACTAGGAGTTCAACCCTAATTCATTGGGTGAGGAACTGCTGTGCAGTAATTTATACAAGGTATGTAATGCACATAACCAGCCACATGGCAAGTAAAGATGTAAGACACGAAATGTAAACTCTAGACAAAGCAGGCTTTGTCAGTGTTGTAGTTGAATATTACAGACCACACAATTCATACCCTCTTCTGTAAAACAGAATTTAATTCATCACTCTTCTGTTTCTAGATGAGAGTCAAAGTTAGAATCTACCTTTTGAATAGGATATGGTAGACAAACATGAGACCATTCGTCAAACACTCTCTTAATAAATTATTAATACAGTTTATAATAAATGCCATTTCATTCCCACAGCACATCTGTGTGATCAACAACAATGGTAAAGAGAAATATGCAGTTCCACAGGGAGCACACTAGTAAGTCTAGAGTGTTACCATGTGACTTGAAGATTCACTACGTTTAAAGTAAACATGTTTACATCTGAAGATGGTTTTGTATGAAGCCTTTAAAGATTTGTATCATGAATTGATAGCCATTAATACATCTATTTTCATTGTTGCTTTTGGGATCAAGACTACATGACACCATATAGTAATATGTAAGTTACATAATTTATATTTTTGATACAGTATAGTAAAGCAAATGAATACCTGTGTACTGTATATAGTTTTCATTTCAATGAAAGAATGAACGTGTACCTTCTTTTATACCATACTCTAATACAGTGGTTCTCAACCTTGTTTGCCCCATGCACCCCTTTCACCACATGTCAGAATGTCATTCCCCCCTCCTTTCCAAGATTGTCTGCCTCAAAAAGTGCATTCCAAATAATATGCATATAATACTGAAAATCCTTTATTTTTTCCATATTAGTACATATACATTTACAATTTTACATGGATTATTTTTATAGTGGAGTTTTACAAATTAAATGCCAATTGAAAATGTTGATGGATTTATAAAACTTTAATAAAAGTAAAATATTTTTTTTATATTTATAATGAATTACTTAACAGACCAAACTGAAGCATAATGCAATAAACAAAAAGTTCAATAGAATACCAGGATATTGTAAATTTGCAATTAATTTTATTCAGATGAAGATTACAGTCAATGAGAAACCTGTGATTGTTTTTTCTTCGCCAATTCTGGGATACGCGGAGGAGTGCTTGAAAGGGCACAACGCAGGTCATTTTCTGCCTCTAATCTACTACGTTGCTTCGTTTTAATTTGCAACAGAGTTGAAAAGCCTGACTCACAAAGATATGTCGACACAAACGGAAGCAATGCACGGATAGCTCTTTCTGCCACTTTTGGGTAGGAATCGCACATCAAGGGCCAAAATTCTGTGATTGATTTCTCATCGAACATATCTCTTGCTCCCGAATCAGTTTCCCCCCCCCCCTGAAAACCTGAATTCCCCCCTGGTTGAGAACCCCTGCTCTAATATTTTTATGTGTAATAAAACAATGTAATGTGATAGATGTGACTCAATCCTTACTATCCAATTTAAATCTTAAGAAGTTGAAAGGTCATTATGTCTGGGTTGGAATTTTATATATGTTAAGGCCATATTGCATGGGCTTCCTATGCCTGAGTAAGTGACAATGCTTGACCATATTGCTCTGGTAAGCATCATTTTGCTCCGAGAGGTCCAGTGCTGGAGCAAACTCGTAGTCAACGTGAAAATTATTTTACCTTCTACTTTAAAAGTGAATACAGTATAGTCTCGATTTACGCGGATTTCCTTTACACGGTTGGTCATTTACGCAGCACCTGGCCAGACGCGGCAATTATTAGTTATGCGGGAAGCGGCGCGGGCAGGTGTGCTCGCTAGGTCGCCCAGTCAACAAAACATTACCGAGTTCTTCACCCGCCACCCACCACAGCCAGCCCAAGTCAGTGATAGTGAGGATATGGACTTTGAGGGGTTTGACAAGGAGGCCCTGCTAGCCTCTGTGGGTGATACAAGTGATACAGGTGAGGGCCAATAATCTGCCCTCTGCCTCGGAACCAACATCCCCGTGATGTATAGTATACCCAGCATAAACAAAATGTGAATGTGTATCCACCTCTTGTGAAACTGGTATTAATGAGGGCAACCTGTATCTTACATGTACAGGTATACGTCTAGAAAAGAGATCGAAGCACTAATTTAGTCTTACTGGTTATTTTTATTCATTAGATTTACAGGAATTTTGTATTTATCCTAGTGTTAACACTATTAATGTGTCAGTTGAAATATAATTTTTCAGACTAAACCTGCATCTCAATTAAAATAGGCACAAACTGAACTGCATGTACTAGGGAAAAACATAATCAACTGCAGAACAAGCATATTGTACTTGTGACAAAAACTCATATTTAAGAACTTTGTCAGCAACTTTTAACTTAGTAGTTGAAGTCACAGAAGTTGTCAAATATTTTCACAAGACTTACTACTGGTAATAGTGCATGATGACAAACCTTGTAGTAGATGCAACATTTTGAAGTTTTCCCAGACATGGTTGCCAGATATTTGATCAACCTAAAGTACATTCTTATGACATGATTTTGTCACCAATAGTTAACTCTTTTACTACTATGTATTGTTTCTGAAATTGATTTATTTTTTGCACCAAAGGCTTTATTAAAAAAAAAAAAACCGAAAAAAATTGTGCAATATTACAATACTACAAAAATACTACACTGTACCTACGTTAATTTGGATCACTATAATTCAGATTTTGGCTTAATTCGTATTATTTTTTTTTTATGAAATAAATGATTTGAATTTAGAATGAATCTAAAATAACCGAGTGGTTTAAAATTTTTTAATTATTGTAGAACTATATTATGAAATAGATTAAGATGAATGAATTATAGGAACAGAATATGAATTATACGAAGTTACTGTACAAAACTACATTTGACGAGTAGCCGGGGAAAGGAGGTGGCAGAGGAGGGAGGGAGGGAGGACAAGTCAACACCTCCCGCTTGGCAGCCTGTGATCCCTTTATAACGACAGTATGCAATTCACCACAATTCCCATATTATTTAGGTTCATTAATTTTCCCCAGTTGAAATTAATTTTCTTGAGTCACTATCAAATACAAGGCACAAAAATGGAGGGAACTGGCATTTTGTACTATTGGCAGTGAAGGGGTTAATTCATTCCCCTAAGATACTAGTAACAAATTATTTTAGGAGATTACTCTAACCTTTCATATATAGTTTCAATGTGTTGTATTTATGTCTAGTGCATCTTGGTACCACTTGCATCGTCTGTAATCAAGTAGATTTTGTTGCGACTAAGGCATACTCTACAATGTACCAGTATTGAAAAACTTAAAATTCCCAGAATAATAATATTTCTGTGCAATTAAACTAAAAACTAACTTTAAGTCCCCTTATCTAACCAAGGGATTGATTTCAGTTATGCATGTTACTGCAAATCATTGACTGATTTTTAACCATAACTGATCCGTACATTCACAATCTTGAAAGGTGTGAGATTGAGTGCAATGAAGAGATATTTGTTGTCTTTCTCTACACTGAAGGACAGCTCCTTATATGGGTCTTCAAGCCCTGAGCACAGGTAAGCACTCCTGGGTCTTGGTGTTGAAGGAACTTTCAGCCTGGAACAAATTATCTTGTAAAAGGTATATTCAAAACCTTCAGAGCGGGACTGTAAATGTATTCACCCCCCCTCCCAAGCTAATTTGAATAACCTCACTTCAATCCATACATAAGTCTATTGAATCATGTAAAATTATAAAAATATTCCAAGAAAAATGGAAATGAAAAATGACCATAAACTGACAGGTGGACAATCAGATGTATGTAAGTGGGGAAAATGAGAAGCTACCCAACTGAAAACTATGCAAAGATAAGAAATAACCACTATCTTTGAAGGATATAATAATATTTATGATATGAAAGAATACAATATGGCTAAAGCAATCCAGAGAAAAATTAGTTTATAAATTAACCAACATCCCAGAATGCCTGTATCTGAGCAACCTTGCTGTTGAAGAAATTATCACAAGTTCGCATATGCATATTGGTCAATGTGATTTTAAAGCATGTTAACTTCATGAAAATGTGTAAATGACTTGTTTATGAGGCAAATTTCTAAATAAATGCAAATTAAGACTTTTTTTTTTACTTTCATTTTAAGAACATAAAATTATTACCTGACATTAAGTTTCTGCATAAACCTTTGAATCTAAGTCAAGAGAGCAGTATAAAGCTACATGCTGTTTTTGTGGACTGTATTCATCCACTTGTAAAATGCAATTGAAAATACAAATAAAACTGGACACATTACAATACACCAGATGTATCTCAACCGTATACATACTCACCATACTTTTGGACTGCCACCTTCCATCTCATACAAACGCACTACAACATCCCCAGTCTTATCTTCTGCCAACTTCACAGCCTCAATCATAGCTCCATCTCCAACTAGGCTATACCATGTATCCTTATCCTCGCTGCAGAGAATGCAATAGTATATAAGTATACAGTATGTTACACTGAAAAAATTATAAAGTGCCATGAAGTATTAACTAGCTGATGTTTTATGATCAACAATGAACATCGTTTTATTGTCGTTTTATCTGACATTTCACGAACCTTAAAGTTGTGGACGAGATCATCAAAGTGTTGTTAAATTCATAAGCTCGCCGTTGTACACCAGCACTCTGGAAAGATCCTAAAAGCATAAAAGGTAATTACTATTTCTTATGATTTTTTTTCAGTTATATAAATACTAGGGCATTAACATAAACTAGAAACTTATCAAACATATGGCATTCAATTTAAAATTGTTCATTTTGGGGGACACTGGAATGGTGCCATTTAAGAAAATTTATTGATTTCATGAGATTTCTGAAATTTCACAAACACGTGGCTTATATTTAGTCCTAAAAGATCCCGATTGGACAGCCATAATTTTGAGAACCAGTTACTGATAAATCTTAAGAGAAAAATTTGCAAATAAACATGTGTAATGCTGTGTGTCTTTTATTTTGATCTTTAGTTAACTATTTTTTTTTTTTATTTATTGTGGATTTATTTTACTATTTGATATGATTAATAATATTGTTACTTTTTACTTTCAGTACTTGTATACTCTATGAATGAGATACATTTTTACTCCTACTTAAGTAACATTTTATCAATGCAACAATACTTTTACAAAGTCTAGTACGTTTTACAACTCTGGTTTAGCTCACCGTTGTGTGGCATTAGGGCATATCGGAAATTGTGGGTTCCAATATCACAGTGTTCATCAGGTGCCTTAGGTGATCGTAGAAGAGACAAGGTGAGTTTACTGCCTCGTGCTGACCATCCGTATTTGCTGTCATTCATAACTGCCATACCGAAGTCATGTTCTGAGAGGTCGGCCCATCTGGAAAAAAATAATCTGGTTATGAAAACTTCATCTGAACAATACCAAAACATTTCTCTAAATTATCAGTGAAGCTTCTTTAAAAGACAACTCCATTTCCATTCCCCATACTCATTGAGCCTAGCTGTAGCATAATAACTGCTAAAAAAAAAAAAAAAAAAAAAAAATCTACCTTACAACTCTTAGTGCTCTGCTTAAGATGTAATGTAATCAGAGGTGTTTATCATCAGTTTACAACAAAGCCCACAGTCCATTATATACAACAAGGTGGGTAAAGTTGCTTCAGTCAATATTTTGTGTGAACTTGATACCTGTACTGTACAGTATTGTAAATCTCGATGGTAATGAAAATTACATTATTAGTTACAAAGAATAAGCTCAATAAATTCATACTGTACTAATCTTTTAGCATGCATTTTCTGAAGCAGGTATGTAGGACATGACCAAACCAGCAACAACCCAAACTCCCTCAGTCTGGTCATCTATAATGACTGCAGCTCAATATTAAAAAATTAGTAAGCATTTAGTGGCTTTTGCCTAGAATGAAGTCATAATCACTCGCATAATGCCACTGTCAATGTTGACATAATGGCAGTGGGTTTTTTATTTATTTGTTATTATTAGTATTATTATAATTTTTTTTTTACATTAAATTGTGTTACATAGAAAAGTAATTTTTCTCTGGATTTGTTCGTTAACCCCTTCATTATGGGGATGCCACTTTTAATATTTTATTTGGTTAATGCCACATGATTTTATTCAGCTCAGAGGGAACCTATACACAATTGAATCCCTAAAACCTGTATACAGTCAATTTATATTTGCTCCTACATACAAATTTCTCCTGTTCTCTATGATGGAACAAACTGAATGTATAGTCTTTAAACTTACTTGTGACCAGAAACTTCAAACTTTGCAGACTCCCATGATGTATTTGTGTGAGTCGGACGTTCAATGTAACCAAACTGGGTATCAAAAGTGGCATTTCTTGTCATAAAGCCAGTATTAAATGCCACCTTCAAGAATTTGCGGTTCTCATGCCAATTAACATGATTATTGAAGGTAAGGTGTGGACTGACAGCAGACAACTCAATTTCTTGAGTGAGAGAGGAAGCATTACTTATTTTCATTTCCCACTGCAATTTTACCACAAGAGGTCCCCTCTCTAAAACCTTCATCTCAGTCATCACACACCCACTATCCTGTTAAAAAGATTACATATATTAACCTCACTAAGCTGAAATAAACCTTAAAGGGTATGAAAATTTAGTTAAAAATTAATATTAATTTTATGGATGACCAAGGTATGTACCGGGTACTACTTATTCCTGTTTTAATCTGCAATAAAAACATGTGAACAGGTTACTCTTACGAAATAATAAACATCCTAACTGATTTCTCATATTAAGAATGTATATATTTATCTGGTAAAAAAAAAAAAAAATGCAGAAGGTTCCCTCATCAAAAGAAATAAACACGTGATCAAATTGCCAGGGCATAAGAGCAGATATAAGAGAGAGTATTTCTATATCACAGAAATCTAGTGACAGAAGCATAAATTCAGCAAAAACATTTGTAAATAGTGACCATTCAAAAAGAGAGTGGGTGGGGGTATGTATGTTAAGGTAAAAACTATGAATTATAGCTACAATAAAAATGAAAATAAACCAAACAAACACAATATATATATATATATATATATATATATATATATATATATATATATATATATATATATATATATATATATATATATATATATATATATATATATATATATATATATATATATATACAGTGGTCCCTCGGTTAACTAATTACCTTCCATAAGAATATTCAATTCGGTTAACGAACAAAAATTCAGTTAACGAGATTTACAAAAATGTTTCGACATGCTTTGGCTTGCTCACCAGCTGGAAGATTAGTCCGCCAATAAAGAAATCAGTTCTAGGGCTTACATTCGTCAAAATTGGAGTAAATATCAAGAATTGTACTATTCAATAATTTTCCAAGTTTTATATTAAAATTTTTAGTCATTTTAACACTTATTTAACATAATTGCAGTGCAGGGAACTAGTTTTTGGTGTGCCAATCAGCCACTTCACTCACCCACCAAGGCCTCAGTTTGTATCTCTGTTCAGTGGAGGAAGCATCTTGCTTGTGGGTCTCTTGAACACAGAGTATTTTTACATTTTTACAGTACAATTATTGGTCATTCTGAAATTTAATTAACATATTGACAATATATAGTGCAATGCAGTGTTGATTTAAAGAAAATAATCTTGAATTACACCTAGTGAACTTAAAATTTTATGGGTGAAATGACGGCATCAAGTAAGGGGCGATTTCTCTTCCACCCCACTTCCTTCTCTTCTCCCTTCTCCTCCACCCCCACTTCTAATTCCCATCATCATCATCAACCAGGAGCCTTCTACATACACACCTCAAAGTAAGTGTGCTTTACTGCATTTTTTTTTTACTTTGTATGTAATTTTCGGTGAGCTGGAACCAATTACCCAAAATCCCATTGAAACAATGGTTTCGGTTAACAAAATTTTCGGTTAACGAACGACCTTCTGGAACGAATTGTGTTCGTTAACCAAGGGACCACTGTATATACAGTGATATCCCCGTTAGCCAGAACAATTGGTGCAGAGCACTTCCAGGAATGAGAGATTTCCGGGTAACGACACGAATCTCTCAAAGCCGGAAAATATCCCTAATCCCCGGAATTCTCCGGGTAACGGAAAAATTTTCTCGGAAGTTCCAGAAATTGGCCATTAAATCATCTCTCGAACCCGGAAAAATATCCCTCATCCCCGTAATTTTCCGGAAAATGTGCCCCTCGGGAAAATCGTTCCCAAAGCCAGATTCGATATGATGCAATTAAACACAAGACATGTTATAAGACACAAATTTGAGTTGACAACTTACGAACTTCAAAATTTTTACTTACTTCTTCATTAAGGACTTTGGCAGTTTCCAAATGGTAATCCATGGTGTCCCAGGCATCCCAATACAAAGGAATGTCATCATACATCATCAGCTGGTTGCCATAACACTGAGGACCATCGCTTTTCTTGAAGACATTGTGAGATACATCAGATGCTGATGTTAAACTGATTACTTGCCCATACTTGGTAATTTCTGCTCTGATAAGGCTGTTTTCAAGAATGTAATTTCCATTGCTGATGCCTAAAAATAATTAAGATTTTTTTGTATACCAGTACTGTACTTGCAATAATAATACAGTACCTACAATAACAATAATAATAATAATTATAAAAAGATGAAGGACTGGCAATGATGCCACATGTCATGTCTACCCTAATAATTCATAATTTGTAAGATGGGACCAAATTTCATTAAATAAATCTGAAGAAAGAACTCTTTGAATTTAGAGAATAGACATTCTTCAAAGTTGTTCAGTGGTCCTTATCAACAGGTATCCTCGTGATACGAATGTTCTAGATACAAAAATTTGCTTAAACGAATTTCATAAATTGACACCACTGTTTCGAGATACTAAAGCTTCGCCCGCTTTTAAGAATTTTAATCTGAGCAAAAATTCAAATTGTATGCCGGGAGTCAGCTGGTGCAGCCATCTTGAGGAGATATGCACAGAATAAAGCCCTTACTCAGCCCATCCCTCCTCACCCATGCTCTTCATTTTCATATTTTATAGTTTTATATTACCGGTATATTTTATTTTCTCCAAGCCACATTAGAGTATTGTAATGATTTTTGGAAAACTTTTTTAATTTCATTACAAGTAACATTTAACGCAGCGGCTGGGCCGACGAGTCGAAGATATAGTTATAGCCCACCACATACAGACAGTTCTGCTATAACGCGATAGTTGTGTTCTTGTAAAACCTCGCGTTGTAGAAATTCGCTCAATAGAAATAACAGGGCTTATGGAGAAAATAGGGTTAGGTGCAGATTACAGTACTACTCAAAATCGAAAAAAATTTAGTAGTTAGCCTAACACAAAGGATAGCACAGTCTAAATAAATGTTACATCCATATCTAATAATGAAATCATACAGTGAATGTAACACAGTTAATACCACAAAATTGGAGAAATAGTAAGCAAAAATCACTGAGGAAGCTTCAAAATAACCCACGTGTTTCAACTGATCGTGTGATGGAAACAGAGAGCACGGGTGTAAAAAGCTATTAGTCCGCACTGCGAAACATTATTTTAATTTATTTTTTCATACAGAATTTATGGAACAGCTAAATTTGCAAAAAAAAAAGGATGAAATTTATAGAGTCCCTATCAAATAACATTTCACAAACAAAACACATGAATCAATTGAACATGTGATGTCGAACGCGAACTGTAAACACTGCATAACCCCGCGCCAAGCGACAGTACACTTAAAACGTTCGAGTGGAATCGCATTACAGCTAACACGCGTTCGCGTTTTACAAATATCATTCTTCTATTCATCAATCGCGTTATAGCCAATTCGTGTTGACAAAACACGCGTTGTAGCAGAAATGACTGTACACACACTTTGACTGTCACACATACACACCCATGCTCTTCATTGTTCTTATTTTATAGTTCTATATTATATTTTCTTTATTACTAAACCATATTGTTTATATAGAGTGGAATAATTGTTAAAGAAATACGTTCTTCTGAGACATGCGCTGGGATTCAACTGGCGTGGCCATCTCGGGGAGAGATACACAGATTGCCCTCCCAGAAGTTAATGAACCAAAGTTAAACAATATTTTTTTCTTCACGTGTTAGGTATTTAAATTAGAGTAGTTGTGTACTATTTATCATTTGTTAGGTAGGTTTTGTTTTTGTCTGTGAACCGATTTGTGGTATTTTTGTCATTGGCGAACCAAACCCATTCGTATCTTGAGGGATACCTGTTACCAATTTACCTAGTACAGTAATGTCATTTTGTCAAGACTTCTAAAATTTTGTACCAACAGTAAAGTTATATATACAGTGTGTGCATGCGTGCGCGCATGTTCATGTGTGTGAAAATTTTGTTCCAATAGTAACGATGTATTTTTTCACTAATACTTAAAACTGCTGGATGAATATTTCTATGATCAAATTTGAAAATTCCATAACTTTTTTCTTGTCTTGCTTCCATAATGAAGCAAAAGCATATGGAAAGGATGCAGATTCCTTAAGCATACACAAGCAAGAATCAGGAAAGGAACAGTGAATGACAGTAAATAGAAAAGAGAGAAAAAACTACTGTACTGTACAGTACAGAAAGTCCTCGCTTAACGTCGCGGTTACGTTCTTGTAAAACACAACGCTAACTGAAACAACGTTAACGGAATAAATTTTCCCCATACGATATTGACAAAATATGCTAGTTACGTTTCCCAGCCTCCCTTTGCCCCATACAAGGATTTTGCTTTATGCTGAATAACCATAAGGCTCACAGGGGCATTGTGTTGATTCTGGTCCTCTATCCACATAGCCAGCATCTTCTCCATCTTTTCAATCACAGAACTTCGAGCATGACTTGTCTTTGTTGCACTCATAGAAGTACCTGTACTACTTCCAGCACTAGCCTTAATCTTGTCTGTGATGGTCCGGATAGTACGCACTGTTGTGGGGGTTAGGCCTAATGCTACACCAATGTCCACAGCACATTCACCTTTCTCAAAATGGTTTAAAACCTCCATTTTTGTAACAAGGCTAATGGTCTTGCATTGATTCTTCACAACACTACCATCACTAACACTTGATGGGCGCTTGGGATTCATTTTGAATGGTTACAGTACAGTAATTAATAGCAAAAACACTGGAAGCATGCATGTACGCTGTGGAAGCTTAACAAAGACTAGGGGAAAATGCTTGCGCTGTGATGCTCCACGAGAGGCGTAGCACACCAAGATGAGAGAGAGGGTGGCGTGCCATACACAGTAGTCGTGTTGGGTGACAAAGTTATACGAATCAGTCGAATTAGATTAAACAGTTGTTGGAATCATGGGTATCTAAAAGGTGCAGCGTTATAATGAAACAACATTGTCTGGGACAACGTTAAGTGAGGGCTTACTGTACACTGAAATAAACAACTGTGTTGATTTCTAATATTGTAGGAAACCACCTGGCAATCAGTTCTATACTGTCATTATGGCTAATCTATTATGGAAACAGTCATACAGACTATGAAAATGTGCACCTTTTAACCTTTATATCAAGTAATCTAATGCAGGTATCCTCACTAAATGAATGAGTTAGGTTCTGAAAAAAGATTATTTTTTTTAATTTTTGCACAGCAGAAAAATAATATGGAAAAAAAAGATTCAGTTCCCCCAATGAACCCCAAAAAAATATGTCACAACAAAAAACCTACCTAATTAATGATAAATAGTACCCTTCTCAATCTACTATTTAACATATTAAAACATCAATAAAATACTATCTGAATGAAAATATGGAGCTAAACCATTAAGGAAAAGAGTAAATCTAAGTTTAACATAACTTTGCCATTTGCATAGATGCTGTCTGCTTCATACGTGGACTCAAACCTTGCCAAAACAATGCAGCTTGGCTGGGGGCGCTACCTCTGCGACCCTAAGCAGCTCTCTCCGCTCTCACAAAGAATGTTTTATTCCTTTATGATTTGGCCTCATGATAATTATTTCTTTTTACTCTTTTTTTTACATTATGTAGGTAGGATGTTGTGCATTAGCAAGAGAAAAAAGTGAAGTTAAGTTTATCTACCTGAAATTATGAGTTAAAAATAAATATAACATACTCGTCCTACTCGCTCGATGGTACAAACAAATGTTTATTCCTTTATGTTTCTGACCTGATTTTTTCACATTCTGTATGTAGGATTGTGTGCGTGTGCATGTACAGTAATTGAATAATAATATATATTAAAAGAAATGCTTATCTACCCAAAATTACAAGTTGGAAAAAGTAAGAAAAGAAAGTATTATATATATATATATGTTACCTTCCATAAGATTCTTAACTTCGGTTAATGAGCAATCCTTCTATTAATGAGTTTCTTACGAGCCGACCTCAACATGTTTTCGCTTGCATTTGGCAGTCCACCAGCTGTAGTATTAGTCCGCCAATACAGTAATCGGTTCTAGGGCTTACATTCCTTACCATTTTAGTAAATATCAAGAAGTTTATAATATTCAATAATTTTAAAACTTTAATATTAAATTTTTTAGTCATTTTAACAATTATTGAACATAATTGAAGGTAAGGTAACTAGTTTTATGTGCGCCATCCAGCCTGTCAACACAGCAAACAGGCGCCAGTCTCTCTGTCTTTTCAGTGGAGGTAACATCTTGCTTGAGACTCTTCAACTAAATGCTTTTTTCTGTGTTTGCAAGCAAATTATTGGTCATCTTGAAATTTATTTTACATATTGACAATATATAATGCAGTGCAGTGTTGATTTAAAGAAAATAATCTTGAATTACACCAGAGAGCTAAAATTTTATGGGTGAAATGGCGCCATGGGGTGACTTCTCTTCCACCCCAATGCCTTCTCTTCTCCCTTCTCCTCCACCCTCATTCTAATTCCCATCATCATCATCATCATCATCACCATCATCCAGGAGCCTTCTACATACACACCTCAAAGTAAGTGTACTTTTCTACCTTTTTTGTTGAATTTAGGCAATTTTCAGTGAGCTGGAACCAATTACCCAAAAACCCATTGAAACAATGGTTTCGGTTAACGAGCAACCTTCTAGAACGGATTGTGCTCGTTAACCGAGGGACCACTGTATATTGAAACACTTAACATTCATTCCCTCATATAGGAATGCTCACAAGTTTAGTTTTTTGAAGTTCCAATTTAATGACAAAAAGAGTTCCTTATATGAACTTTCCCAGTATTTGTCGGCTCCAAAATATGCTGACATAAGTTATGAAATAAATTTGAAACCAGTTGCTTCTGCTGCACTGTTGCTTGAAGAGTTCAAATTTAGGAAGTTGGCAGCGGATATTTGGTGAGGATATCCCGAACTGAGGGACATTTGAGATAAGAGAAGGGAGATTTGATTTGACCTGGTTTATCTTTAATCCTAGGTTTTGAAATAGTACTAGTGTACGTTGGGTTGCCCTTTGACAGTCTTCGAAAGAGTTTCCCACTATCAACCAATTGTCTAGATAAGCGAAAGCTCTTATGCCCTTCTTCTTAGGATCTCCCTGGGGATGTTTGTCAGTTTTGTAAACACTTTTGGTGCAATTGTCAGGCCGAAACATAGCTAGACGTCGCATTCTGGATTGAAAAAAAATAGGTATAACATAACTCACGCCTCAGCTTGAAAGGGACAGGGCTAAGGGGATGTGGCACCCCCAGCTGATGCCTGGGGGTGTGCCATTTAAATTTTTGCCATGACCCAAATTGGTATATGTGGGGGAAGCTTTCATAGCATGAAAAGGAGGTGGTAATTTAAGAAATTTATACTGTATAAGCCAAATAAAAATAAAAATATGATAAGTGAAATAATATAAATTTGGCATCTAACAACTTCTTTTCAACTTACGAACTGTGACAGGTGCTGGGCACATGGGTAACAGCTTTGTCCAGCCAATACCCTGTGCCTCCACTGCAACATAATATTCTCCATTTTGTGCTGGCTGTGTAACTTCTCCATCCATGCGAATTCGCTTTTTACTTGGCTCTTGGCCTTTTTCTTTAACTGTAACCACCTGTTGTACTTTCCATGGGAATGTGTTAACCACGACCATATCTCCCTGTCGGGATTCTGGTGTATCTGTAATATAAAATTTAATATCAAGCACATATAAATTCTCATTATAGAAGTCAAAAGATTTAATTTTATTCTGCCCTTTATAAAATTACATCCTGTTCACAAACAACCTGATTACATCTTGCAACTTTTTATGTTCCATACAAGTATGAGTAAACTCTCCATTGCATCCCTGGTCCCCCAATCTCTCCAATAGCCAGAAAAATTACAGAAAAACACTCTCCATTCTTAGTCCACGAATGAGTTTTCAGGGATGAAAATCAGGCACATTCTGGGAGTTCCGAGATATTGTATCATGCACCAACGCATCCCCACGTACCAGGCACATGGGTGGCCTAGCAACTTGGATCGCTTAGTTAAACAGTATTTTGCTGCCATTTTAAAAGTTTGTTTCCTCTCTAGTTGCTGTTTTTGTATACAATTTGTGTTGTGCAGTACTGTACTGTGTGCAGTAGTACTGTACAATACTGTACATTATTGTACCAAGACACAATCAGCCAAGAATAGTGTTAAAGCAGTGTTAATATATAAAAAGTGATTACAGTTACCTATACTGTACTGTATATTCAGTAAGTACCATATGTACCATTTGCATAATTGAGTTATTAACGCCCTTTGAGGTGCTTCTGCACTTCTATTAAATCATCCCTTGTTCTTCTAAAGTGGGCAATTGTAAATGTTCTTGTCTCTCTTTGTTAGGTGTTTGAGTGCCAACATGAGTTTGGATGTTTTTCAATTGAAATGCCTTCATAATAAAGTAGAATTTCAGTACATCTGGTGTGTATATAGACAGTAGACCCTTGCCATTCACGAGGGATAGGTTCCAAGAAATGGCGTGAATTGGCAAAATCGCGAAGAGCAACTTTTATAACCTTACTGCACTACTGTATACCTATGTATACCAAACAACTGACCAGCTGCAGCAGCACTCATCCCCTCTTTTAACTAATCTAATAATAAAAACTTTTTTTGTCAGGGTCATCACTGACTTCTACCTTTTACATTTCACTCCACTAGCATCACTAGCACTGACACTAGGCAGTCTTTTAGGGGCCATTTCACACAGAAACACTAAAGTTTTGAGAGTACAACACGAGATGCTGCGTGGGTCTTTGTGAATCACAAACTCGCGAATGGCAAGGGTCTTATAATATATCCCTCAATAAGGCATTAATTTTTGTTTACCTTGCAAAATAAGTGCTGCACATGCCTCTTTAATCTGAGCAGCAAGAGCTTGAGATTCTTGGAACATCTGATCTGCATCACGGTACACATGACCAATACTTGTGCCAGGAATGACATCATGGAATTGGTTCAGAAGTACTTTTTTCCAAGCACCCACTAGAGCCTCTTGGTACCTGAAATGGCACTCAGATTTAGTCCACCAATACAAAAAAAATAAACTAAAAATTTTGGGTTCCCTGATCAATTGTGACATTGTGCAATCACACCATCTTAATATTTTTGGGGATGTCAGCATTTTACATAAAGTGATAAGTGCTGTCAGGCTTTGTAATGGACAATGGTGATTATTAAAATTAATGAAAAGACTTCAATATAAATAATATATCTGACTGGTAAAAGCATAATTTATTAATACTGTATAAACATTCAGTAATTTGTTTACCCGAGTTATACAGTACTTCTCTTCTTTTTGTTTGAAATTTCAATTTCTTAACTTTCATTGTAATGTTTAAATTGGAAGTTTAAGTGGTTGTATTGATAAAGTGGATCACCTCTCTATTCATTTCAAAAGCATCATAGTTTTTGTTAACATTGACTTGCACCTCTGCATCAAATTTTACTAAAACAGTTCAATGACGATTGAGTTATTGAATTAATGAGCTTCAGAGTATATAGACAGTAAGTCACACACACAACTGTATCATTGCATTTCTAGGAAAAAGGGCATAGAATTTTTAACTATATTAGTCACAATACATAAATGTAAAATAGAAAAAAAATCCATCAGTATTTAGCTAATGTTCCCATTAAAATACACTCTATTTGGATATCTTACGCATGAAGTTTTTCTTGAGACAGCTCTCCGCTCACAGCAACAAATGCAAGCATCATCTCTGCATCTCTCAGTGCAATTTCACACTCACGATTTTGACGCTTGGTATTGGCCTGTGAATAAGAAATACTGAACAGTGTTGCAATATTAAGAAATTATCTTTTTCACTTAAGTTGGTCTACAGTTGGCTCCATTCCTGCATTTACCACTTACGTAGTGTTATCAATCCTCTCTTCTCCGTGAGGGTGAACCCTGAACTCTGAAGTGTGAATTCGAAGCATTTGCTACTGAGCAGGAGGGTGAAGGGAGGGGTGTGTCTGTGTAGGTGTCTTTCTATGTAGGTAGACGGGGTATGGAGTTGAGAATGGAACGACGTGTTCAGTACACATCTGTTGGGAAGATAACATTGCAGAACAACGCTTTGACAATACCAACGGGATTTCCTTAGTTGGTAGCTGTCTGGTATAGAATCAACAAAACCAAATAGTTCAGCTGTGCCATTTTGTGGTGGTAAAAAAAAAAAAGAAAAAAAATTGCAGTGGCTACTTGAGTTTAGCAATTTGCGAGTTTAGCTCTCAAGCTAAAATTCCCCAAAACTCGAGTTTAGCACCACTAACCACTAGATTAGCACATTGCGCTACTGTAGCGGGCACGTGCTTACAATTGTGATGTCACGCAGCCATTGTTTTCGAATCTCTCACCAGTTAGTGATCGCCTGTTCCTCTACTGTGTAACTTTGCAATGGCTGACACACAACCAGGACCCATTGGAAGTGGGAAAGGAAGCCAACCAGAACGACTTGGTAAGACGAAGCTACTGCTTAGTCTCGGGGAGAAAGGAGAGATTTTGGATAAATTTGAATGTGGTATGGGTCCTACTGCAGTGGCTAAGTTATATGGGGTGAATTAGTCTACGATACGGGGCGTGAGAGCGAAGAAAGATCAGATAAAGAAGTTTTGCGTACTGTTGCTTCTGTAGCACACATTACAACTAGCAAGCTTATGATTACCATTGAAAACTATTTGAAAGGTTTTTTAGATGTTAAGGCAGAGAAAATGAAGCAATAGATGGGCTGAAATTGTAAGGAAAAAAAATGGACAGTGGCATTGAGATGGGAACGAAGCATAGTCATTACGTATATCGAGTTTAGCGGCTACTAGATGGTATGAAGCGATCGCTAAACTCGGATACCCACTGTATTATCATCATTATCGAATGTGAAATTTATGATGCAAAGCAATATACTGTAGCTGTTAAATAAAGGTGTTAAATAATAAAGTTTCTATGTTGTGCCCTGGACAAAGTTGCTGGTGGAACCCTCGACTCTTCACCCCCTTTACCACCCAACTCTTACTCAGGTTGTCAAATCATTGCAGACAATTTACAGAGTAGAATAATTTTGTGTCCTCTCATTTCGATGAGGCAAGTGGTACGTGTACCCATTATTTCAAGCAACAGTCATGAGCTTATGAAGGAAAATCAAATTTGTTTGATACTCCATTAACTGGTAATTATTTTGCAAGACAGACTCATGTCAGTATGAGCCAATCACAGAATACTGCATTGAGATTATAGAGAAGTAGTATGAGGTGGAATTAAAGCACTCGGAATATGTGGAAAAGGACATTTCTTCTATATAACAATTAAATACAATCTCAATAATTGCCAGTTCGCAACTCAGCATGTCCTGCCGGGAGACAACCGCTGCTCATTTTCCAGGAGACGTTGCCTCCCTTAGCGAAAAATATCGAAGTTCCGGGTTTGAGGAATTCCGGCTAACGGAGATATTACTTATGTTTTCATAACTTTGCACAGGTAAGTGCAGTTTTTTTAAGTATGTATATAACATCAATTTCACAATTGTATATTTTAAGTTCAATTTACATTATTTTATATGAGCCAAATGTATTCCAAATGGACGAAAAGGCTATATTTTCAACATGTGTTTACAAAAAATCAAGCTCCGTGGCCTATATATATTTTTTCCAGCATTGTTTTAAAATATACAAGTACAGTACAATACTGGATTAGATGGCCAAAAATTGGGGTGTGTATATTGTGCACCCTGGCCACAAACCATTCCAGTGCACAATATAGAAACTTTATTATTTAAGACCTTTGGAGCATAAATTCAACATTTGATGATGGTGATAATAATAATAAAATTTTTTTTTACCCATTTAACCTCACTGTTTAGCACAACTGAACTATGTGGTATGCTGATTCTATACTGGACAGCTGCCAACTGAACAATTATATTCACATAAAGTTTGTATTACAATAAATATGTGCAGCCCACTTCCTGATTATTTTGACTGCTATTTAAACCCTTCAGTATTATGTCTTCTCATCTATTTTATTCTGGCTACCACCAGATGACTTTATTCAACCGGGGAATTTCCATCTCGTAGTCAAAGGGTTAAACAAAACTTCATTGCTTCTACAAGATATACTCGCACTGTAGATTCAAACTGATCCATAATCCATTTGCTAATAAATGTCCCCTTTTGCTGAGGAATACCTTACTTAAAACATGCATTTATCCCCCTCTTATCCTTTTGTAACCCAAGTATTTTCATCTGACTAGGGCTAGACAATTACCGGTACACTCGGCTGAGGAAACCCCGTCGGTATTGTCAAAGCATTATTGTGCATTGTAATCTTCCCCCAAGCAATATATTGTACACTTTCTTTCCTCACCCAAGTTCCCTGTCTTACCCCCAGAAAGACACCTACCTCGGCACACCCGTTTTGATATTCCTGGATCCGCCCGTGCCTGTCCCCCGCCCCCACTCACTAGCAAATGTTTTTAATTCACACTTCAGAGTCCACACCTTAAGAAGACAAGATTGGGAATGCTAAATGGTAAATACAGGAGTGGAGAACAATTGTTATCTGCTTGGGTCCTCACACTTATGCAATTTCATATTCAAGGGTTACCCATTTTTGTTAAATGAGTATGAATGTAATTTTTGAAGTCTCAAGACCAGTCAATTTCTCAATTATCTATACACTAAGATTGATGATCCACCTCCCTCTACCCCAAATTTAAAAGGTATTTCATAGTAAAACCTTATATAATTCAATTTCAAGGTGACTGGTCTATTCCCAACCAGGAGCAACAAAACTCATATGTCTTACTGACTTACTCATTCATTTATATCACCAATTGTAACAATAAGCCCTGTGATACCATTTTTTTTCTTCATATTTTTAACAATAGCACAAAACAAACAAAAGAATTTCACAGTACAGGTGCACCAACCTTATGGAAAAATTTCCTCATGGGGCTACAACTTGCAACCAAAAATGAAATGAGAACATGTAAATAAGAATATTCAGAGGATGAGTTTGGGTATATAACTTAGTTATTGTGTCAAATCAAGCAAGCTGTTAAATACCCATGAAAATGTTCCATTACTTGTTGTTTATAGGTTAGGTTACATTATGTATTTTACAGATTGCCTGATATGATACAGTGACTGTAACATACATACCATGGTACTGAGAAGATTAATATATAAAACTCTCCAGAGTTGTGCTTTTAATCTGTGTTTAAGATTTGGCATGATTCATTTTTTAGAACAAAGGTTAGTAAACCAGATGAATGTAACATCAGAAAATATAACTTTTATCTACAAGCCTTTCTGTAATTCAAGAAAAGTAAAAGTAAAAGGATGTGGAGGGTTGAGCTACCTGTGAGGTGTAGGTACCATTATGGAGTTCGAGGAACAATTCACCAGTCCAACGGCAGAGATTTTGCTTCTCAGACTCAAGTCGTTTGAAGAAGGTATTGGGAGACATGTGCTCCATCCTGTTGAAATAATATTCCAAGTTATGTAATGGACCATGTATTCCAAACCTAACATAAAATGTATCTAATGTTTGCAATCAAGTTTTTAATCAATTAAATTTAATGACCCAATTGTTTAAACATAGTTTTGGAGGGTCATGTATTTCAAGTTCCTTTTCTTGAGAATTTGACAAATTTCAGAAATATGATCCTTCAATGACAATAACCTTCAAAAAGAATTGAAAAAAAGAAGATTTTCGTATATTTCAAACAAATAAAGCAAAGAAATTAGTTTTTATCTCCAGACAAGAATAAATATACCATAAATAAAGTCCAGATTACCCTCATGTATTGCAGCTTCATAATAACCAGATTCAAGCATACAGTTCAAGGTTCACTTTTTATCAAACAAATTTCAGTTATAATTGGCTTAGGTTCACATGTATTTGGCTTTGCATCCCTGCCTACTCCCTCCTTCCTTACCTCATATGTTCCAAGCTAACACATGCCACACATTGCACTGAGAGTCATTTGTTTGGTTAATACAGATTCACTGACTAATATTACTAAAACAATAATAATAAAAAACAATAATCTTGACAAAGTGAAACCACATTTTGTGTTTAACATTAAGATATGCTGCACAGCTCAATAACCTAACTACAGTACTGTTGACGAACACATTGTATGTACAGTAGAATACAGCATGTTAATATCTTTTCCACTACATTAACATCAAACAAATGTAGAATTTGCATTACTTTTTCTTCTTTCACTGTTAACTCTAATTTTGTATCCCTATGCATTTACCTACTTCCATTTCTTTATTTTCTTTATTCCTCTAAGTATGCTATCTTTCTTCTACACCCATCATACTAAATGTAAACAAAAATTTCAAACAAACCTTGGGCAGCCATCCACATCCTTCAATCTTCGTGCACGTTCCATCATTTCCCTGGTTGGTCCACCACCTCCATTACCATAACCATACAGGAAGGCTGAGGTGCTTACTCGTCCCTTATCTTGAAGGTTCCTGACAGTCTTCATAGCTTCTCCAACCCTAATTTGTCAGAAACAAAGGAAAGTACTATTTAAGGCAATATATTTAAAACAACACAAAAAGAAAACTGTACCCTTTAATAATTAAAATGAATAACCATTTCTGATTAATAATGTTTAAGTCAGTGGTGTACTTTTGACTTGAAAGATGCTCCCATACCAACATCAGTACAACAAATGATACATTCCCTATACAGTACTGCACAGGTACCAGTATCCTCAGATATATGAAGGGGTCCATGGAAATTCATTTGTTAAGTGAAAAACATATACTGAACCTATGCATTATTAGGGGTTACATTCATAGGGAACGAAAGCAACCTCATATTGAATGGCAGAGACTACATATCACTTGGGGCTATGCTTCAGGGAAGGAAAATGTTGGCCAACTGGGTTTTTTTTTCACACAAAGTTCACAATTATATGTTCTGTAAAATTAATACTGTAGTAGAGAATAAACACACTGAAAGTGACGAAACTTGTACAGATAGTGTAGAACGTAACTCCACATCTCCAAATCCTGGATGGTCATCTTGACCATCTGACAGCTAAAAGTTTACATTCTTTAAGGAAAAGGTGTCAAAATGTAAATATTATTTGTTAAAGTGAAAGTTTGCTTTTACATAAAGATAGAAAGGTGTTAAAATATGATCTCATTAAAACAAATTATCATTTAATGTGCAATACTATACTGTACCTGTATTCAATTAAGATTATGCTGCTAATAACAAAGCAAAAAATAAATAAATAAATAAATACAGTGTAATTAAAAATTATCAAGGAAAGCATCATTAAGGTGTTTCTTTACACAATCTTTATAAAAGACCTGAATAGGAAAAGTACTATTCCTCCACCTGATTTGCTTTATTCTTGAAGTAAGAGAAAAGTTTTCTTGAACAGATAGTTTTTGTTAATGACTGGTTAACCTAGGCTACTCTCTTTAAATATTAAAATCTTGGTTTTAGTTGGACTCTTCATCCCCATAGATTTAACCTTGCTATGTAAGGCACAGAGCGAGTTTTAGATAGATTTATTTTTTTTATTTTTTAGGGGAGGAATATGGTGCCACCTTTTCATGTTTCTATAATACATAGCTGTTGTTTCAGTCAAGAACCAAACCAAGAGATAACTTAATAGAGTGTTCAAAAACATACTTGACATTCATCTCATAGGAGTCTCCTGGGGGGAAGTGAGCAATGATAGTGGTACCATCAAGACCCTCCCATAGGAAGTTGTGGTGAGGGAACTTATTCACCATGTTCCAACTCAACTTCTGGGTCAAGAAGCGGGTGATGCCAAATTGCTAAAAATGAGAACGTCAATCTTTCATTAAAAAGGGATTAGAATAGCAGAGTAACAGATTATTACAAGTACACTTAAAATGTTTTTAATCAACAAATATTTAAACTGTCATAATAACTACTAAACCATATAAAAACTCATAATTAGGTACTGTCTCTAAATGCCCACATATGTTCTTATACACATTAAAGGTTACTAGGCCCTAACTGGTCTGGTAACACAAATCAATCATGTGTCCAAAAGTACAATAAAGCTTAACCTTATCCCTCATGCCTCCACAGTCTTCCCTCCCCCCTGCAAACTCCCTCCCTCCTTACTCGTGACTCCGTGTTGTATTTCTGTCATCCCACTGTCTATTTCAGCTGATATGACAATCCGGCAATCTTCATATTATTATTATAATTTTATTATAATTCCTAACTTTCTATTTTACTTGTCTTATATTCTCATTGTATATCAATTTAGGTATAGGTTATAAAGCAATATTTTGTCTTACTACATCAAAGAGGAGAATTTGGCTTAATGATCTGGCCTTTATGCCATTGATCAATTGCTATTATCTACAACAAATCAATCAGTCCTTCCTAATTCACCTTCACCTTTTTCCCCCAAACTTCCTTTCTATTCTCAAACCCATCTGTCTGTCTACCAAGTTATCATTTTCTCCTCGTAACATTAAGCCTACCCTGTTCAATTGAAGTCGCTATCACACTGGCCAGCTTTACATCACGCTTCTACAAAGTCACTATTTTAGTGGACCATCTAATCACATAAATGTCTATAAGCTGAAGGTCCACGTTCTCCGAAATTATGGGATACCTTGACCCCATTAAAGTAACGGTGTCATGTGAGATAAATTACTTGATAGTTCCATAATATATATATCCCAATGTTTTACAGAATTAATTGTATGCATAGCCAATTTATGCTACCAACAAAGTGTAATAAGCATTACAATTAAATACAGTAGTATGTTTTCATGTGACTGTTACTTTGGGCTCTGTATGGCCTGAGAACACACCACCGATTTTAAAATGTGTTTGCTGGCTGTGAATGACAGACGCTGTCCTAATAGCAATATATATATATATATATATATATATATATATATTTCCCAGTGATGTGAGAAGCCAATCTGAGAGTAAAGGGTTGCAATCAAGTAGAAGTCTGCCACTTATGTTGTTTTGGTGGCATCCCAGGACTCAAGGGGAAAATTAGAAGTACAGTACTGTATTAAATGATGTTTACCCCACAATCAATGAACTTGAGATAAATTCAAACTAAAAATTACTGCACCAAAATTAAATCCTTAAAACAAAACCTATCTCGGAAACTTAGACATCTTACAGCTTCTTGGTCCATGAAGTCTCTTTTCCAACAACTCAGGTATCCTTGCAAATCACTACAATCATCAATATATGTATAACTCCCTCCCATAAACTGTTAATTAGCTTTACTGTGCCTAAAGTATCATCCACAACCTGGCTTAATATTAGCTTTGTTGTTTATAGTAAATAATCTTTTCTTGTCCTTTTTATGTTTAATTAGCAGTAAAAAAAAAACTGAAAATTCTGCACAAATGAAGTGATACATATTTACAGTAAAATTTGAAAACCAAATGTGATACAATTTTGGGGATTGTTTACCTTGCATATCTGGGGAAATTGCGCAGAATAGCCAAATGTATCAGGCAGCCAGAATTCTTTGCACTGAATGCCAAACTCTCTTTGGTAGAATAACTGTCCATATAGGAACTGGCGCATAAATGATTCACCACTGAAATAAAAATTAACCATTTCCAAGATTACAAATATTCCTGAAGAAAATATAAAAACCAAATACTACTACACATGCATTTGTACACTACTTTGCAGTCTTTGACAAAAAAAATGTATCCTGTATAATGAGGCATATGAATGACTACAAAGGTTAAACAAAAAACAGGGTACATTACAGTAGGGTGGGGATATATCACGACTTTATATAAAGATATTTTTTTATATCACGGCTACCAAAATTATAAAATTTTTCCTATATATAGCAATAATTTTGTTTATTTCGCGAAGGAAATCGGACAGAAAATATTTTAAATGTACCGCCATGACAAACAAATCGTTATTTGCTTACCAGAAGCGCCACCGTGGCTGCTCACTCACGCATTTACGCTCGCTCACTCAGTCTTTCTGAGTGAGTGACGAGAAAACAGCCGACTCCGCTACAGAATACGACTTCTGAGGTGAGTGTAAATGGGTTGCTCAAGACGTGAAAAAAGAAGTGAAGATAATGGAAAGCTTAATGGTAATGATTTAATACAGTGGTCCCTCGGTTAATGAGCACAATTCGTTCCAGCAGGTTGCTCGTTAACTGAAAAACTCGTTAACCGAAACCATTGTTTCAATGGGTTTTAGGGTAATTGGTTCCAGCTCACCGAAAATTGCCTAAATTAAACAAAAAAGGTGGAAAAGTACACTTACTTTGAGGTGTGTATGTAGAAGGCTCCTGGATGATGATGATGATGGGAATTACAATGGGGGTGGAGGAGAAGGGAGAAGAGAAGGCATTGGGGTGGAAGAGAAGTCACCCCATGGCACCATTTCACCCATAAAATTTTAGTTCTCTTGGTGTAATTCAAGATTATTTTCTTTAAATCAACACTGCACTGCATTATATAGTGTCAATATGTAAAATAAATTTCAAAATGACTAATAATTTGCTTGGAAACACAGAAGAAAGCGTTTAGTTGAAGAGAGTCTCAAGCAAGATGTTACCTCCACTGAAAACAGAGAGAGACTAACGCCTGTCTGGTGTGTTAACAGGCTGGATGGCACGCCAGAAACTAGTTTCTTTACCTTCAATTATGTTCAATAATTGTTAAAATGACTAAAAAAGTTAATATTAAACATTTAAAACTATTGAATAGTATAAACTTCTTGATATTTACTAAAATAGTAAGGAATTTAAGCCCTAAAACCGATTACTGCATTGGCGGACTAATACTACAGCTGGTGGACCACCAAATGCAAGCGAAAACATGTTGAAGTCGGCTCGTAAAAAACTCGTTAATCGAGGGATTGCTCGTTAACCGAAGTTAAGAATCTTATGGAAGATAAATTGTTAACCGAAATCTCGTTAACCGAGGGATCACTGTACTGTAAGAAATATTTTTGGCTTGTTTGTTTATGATTGTTAAATGAGGGTGGCAGTGTGTCGTCTGTTGTTCTCAGGATGGCGCGTCAGCTGCCGAGTCTGGTGCAGATTCCAATTTCTAAAACAAGTGTAAATGAGTTGCTAGTGAAGTGAAAAATGAAGTGAAGATCATGGAAAGCTTAGTGGAAAAGATTTAATACTGTAACTAATATTTTTGGTGTTCATTTATGTAGGTGTGGGATTGTCAAGTGAAGGTGGCAGTGTGGCTTCTGCTGCCAAATCTGGTGTTCCTTGATATTGATATTGAAATAGCCTGTTGTTCCTGAGTTTAGTGTTCATTGGTGCTTTATTAGTAAGAAAATGAATTTGTTAAGTCAAGTTTAGTCACTCTTTTTGGCCTCCAGAACCTAACCCTATTTTCCCCATTGATTACATGTAATTATATATCACGATTTAGTATATAGCGAACATTGTTGGACTATACCTCGAGATATATCCGACCCTACTGTACAAGCTTCATTGTAGGGAGCTTAACACACCCCCAAGTCATTTATCATTGCTAGTTTAGTCACTTGGAAGAATCTGTGCATTTGGGCTTTTTCGTTGAAAAGTGGACTTTGAGTCTGGATCTGGGGTCAGTCTACATTCTCAAGTACAGTAGTCCGGTTTTAGACAAATCAGACTTCAAGGGTCTTGAGTTTATAAAATGATTGTCTTCCTTTTTAAGTGTTTGTACATTCAACCAAAGATGCACTGACCTCACCCTGGGTCTTGTACTGACAATTTTACCTGGCAATACAATGTACAGCATGCCCTTCAAATTCACGGGGATTAGGTTCTCAAAATGGCCGCGAATCATCAAATCAGCGAATAACATTTGCTGATTGGGGGGTACAATTTTACTTGTGTATAAAAAAAATGTATATTCCGTTTGTGTGTTTGCCCTTAGGACAATTATTTCCTTTACCTGTATTGTATATGTGTGTGTGTGTGTGTGTGTGTCTACACACACACACACACACACACACACACAAAACACACACACACACAAAACACATACAATTAAATATTAATGGGAAAATACTCTCACAAATAATCAGAAACAAATGTATATTAAAAATGTTGAGTCTACCCTCAAGTCTACTCTGTGCTTTATTAATAACAAAGCACGGAGTAGACTTGAGGGTAGACTCAACATTTTTAATATAAGTACATTTGTTTCTGATTATTTGGGATAGGATTTTGCCATTATTATGAGTTTTGTGTGTTGTGTCTACACACACACACACACACATATATACAATACAATACAGGTAACAGAAATTACTGTCTCTAGAACAAATGGCTCCCTGTCCCAGCTGCGAACATGCCGGCAACTTTAAAACTACCCACAGACATTCTTGGGTACATCCAGGGTGTCATCCGTGAATAATAGAGGACCATGAAATAAAAATCCACGAATTATCCGAGCGGACTGTACTTCGTAAAGTAAAGCTGTATGTAAAGGCGATTGTGATTGGTAGATCTGTTTTTGGGTGTATCACTGTCAGGATAAATATTAAACAATCCAAAGGAAGCATTTTTATAATAAACTACAGTAAACCCTTGTTATTCGTGAGGGATAGGTTCCAAGGAATGGCACGAATAGGCAAAACCGTAAATATCAACTTATAATAATAATAATGGAAGCCACTCAAAATTGAGGATGGCCAGCCCAAGGGCCACCTAGGCGTGAATTTGTTTAAGGTGTAGAAGCTGTCGCCAACACAGAAACGACACCCTAAGTTAACTAGCTGCATGGCCCAGGGTCAAGGAATAGTCCGAGAAGACCGAACAACTCGCCAACTGCACTGGCCAACCATTACCCCGGAATACGATCCGCAAATCGATTAACATCCAGGTTCCCAATTACCGTTGGGTAGACAGAGGCAAATGGCATAAAGAAACTTGCCCATAGCTTCACCCTGCCCGAGGATCGAACCCGGGTCCGCTCGCTTGTGAAGCGAGGATGCTGACCATTACACCACAGGTCGCCTACCTTAGTGCACTACTGTACACCTATACCAAACAACTGACCAGCCACAGCACCACTCATCCCATTTTTTAACTTCTCTAATAATAAAACTTTCTTTGTCAGAGACATCACTGACTACTGCCTTTAACATTTCACTCTATAATAGCATCACTAGCACTGACACTAGGCAGTCTTTTAGGAGCCATTTCACAAAGAAACACTAAAGTCTTGAGAGTAAAACAAGATGCTGCGTGGGGTGACTTCTTGTACTGCGGGAAAAAGCTTGCAAGCTAGCCACCGCAAATCGTCGAAATTGCGAATCGCAAACCTGCGAATGGGAAGGGTCTACTGTATTCAGCATTACTTAACATTATGAGAACTTTCCAAATTTTCATATACGGTACTTGCTTAAATAATGAAGAAAATTATATTAATGAATTAACAACTCACCTACAACCACAGCTGCCACAAGATTCTCATGTAAAATTTTCTTCATTACTTAAGCACATACACAAACATTTGGAAAGTTCTCATGATCTTAAATAATGCAGAATAGTTTATTATAAAAAGGCTTCCTTTGGTTTGCTTCTTATTTATCCTGACAGTGATATACCCAAAAATAGATCCACCAACCACAATCACCTTTACATATAGCCTTACTTTCCCGAGTATTGCCAGGTAAAATTGTCAGTATGAGACCCAGGGTGGGGTCAGAATGATAGACATTATTCATTATGTGCACTGGTAAATTAAATAATTAAAAAAAATAATAATTGGAAAATCTTAGCAAATAACATGTTGGAAGGGGAGCAGTTCAACATTACAGCTTGTTTCCGATGGTAACAAAGTCATAAAAGGCTGGTTGAAAATTGTAAGATACGACAAAGATTATATATGGGAGATAAGCTAAGTGAAATAATATGTATGTTTGGTGGGGTGTACAGTAACTTACCTAGGAATGAGACCATCCATCTCAACCCAGGAACCTCCAACAGGGATGAAGCGCCCTGCCTTCACTTGAGTCCGGATCTTCTCAAATATTGCTGGGTAATGGGACTTCATCCATGAAAACTGTTGTGCCTAAAAGGAGAAAAAACAAACAAAAACATTCATAAAAAAATATAAAAATTAACAATTTGGGATTATAATATATTCTTATTTAATATGTGATTACCATCAAACTGCATACATTATTGGCATTTCCTGAAAAACTCAATACAGGGGTCCTGATTATATTTTCTACTTGTGTGTTATATCACAAACAACATGTGATAAACCCATTGAGAGTTAACAACCTGGTGAGGTGGCACTTGCCCTGACCATTCAACCAATAAATTAAATTTTCTCTACAGAACCTAATGGGTGATCTACCAGCTAAATTTAGAGGTGCACAACATAAATTAAGTTACCAAAGAAAATCAAATATTTTTGGGGGGGTCAAAATCACCTTGACCTAACAAATCTCAACCCAAATATCAAAATGCTTACTTGTATCTTCAAAGGAAAATCCCTATTAATGTATGATGAAAGCTTAATATGTAAAATACAAGCAATCATAAAAAAAATTAAAATTTCAACAGACAAGACCAATGCCCTTCTAGCCAAAACAGGAAAGCAGAAATGGCCCAGGTCAAAACAGGACCCATACGGTAAAAAATATCTGCAAAATTCACAGAAGACTCTTTGCTGGAGCTACATCTATAAACTTGTTTTATTGTTTAACTCTCCTGACTACTTAGTGAATTCAGAATCAATAGGAATCTTCCCCCTTAGGTGCGAGAAATCCATGCAAATCATGTTTATTAGTGGTTGGAAATGTGCGTTATGATTCAGAGACCAAGACTAGTTATAGTAAAAATTATCTCGACATATAATTCAAGGTCAATTCAAGTCATTCCTACCCCTTGGGCAACCTGAAAAATGTACAAATAATTTATTGCAATTTATTGTGCAGAAACCTAGAGGGATAGACAAATAAACAAAACCATACCATATTATGCTAAACAAATTGCAGGAAAAAAAGTCCCATTTAATTCTTCCCAAAAAGTCTAGAACTTATTTGGATATTACATTAATATTTCACCTCGGAATAACTGTCCGATTCATAGTACTGTCCACATTGTATTGTACCCACACTCTTCAGATTTGATGAAATTTGGTGTTTAAACTTCCTTTATAAGTAGGGCCTCTGGAGGTTGATTTTCAAGAGATAATAAGTTCTGGTCAAAGTAAGGTCCTGTTGTGACATACAGGATTTGTTTCTAATCTTCCTGAACTGTAAAATTATGAATTTCAGGAATCAACAGTTGCTACATATGGTTCTGCCTGGTAAAATGTCTCAGATTTTTTATTTATATTTAAAAAATTTCTCATAGCCTAAAATACATGCATACCTGTGAACATGCAAATCTCATTTCTGGGTACTCCTCCATCAAGTTCAAGGTTGATGTCCAAGAACGAGCACACTTCCTCTTGGTCTCAGAATATGGCCACAACCATGCAGAATCAATGTGGCAGTGTCCCATGAGTGCCACTGTGTGGGCCCTGGCACCATTGCCTTTTGAGAAGAAGGTGTTTGCAATCTTGCTTGCCATGCTGAAAATGGAAAGTTACATAAAATCAAAGCGAAACTCATCTATAAAAAATAAGTAAAGGTAGCAAATGTGCATAAACAACACACTAACTTCTTTCTAGCAGAGGAGGACAAGACAGTATACATAAAAAAATGAAACAAAAGATTTGTAGAGACTGATAAGTCACTTATTCCAAGAAACTATGACACTATTTTATCATTAAGATAACACAATACCAAGATGGTTAGTTATAAAGTTACTCAAATTTCAGTCAAACTTAAACAGCTATCTCTTAAAACTTTGGATGTGCAAAAGGTAACTTATTACATTAATAAGGGTGACTATATATGAAAGGAAAGATAACTTGAGATAGACAAAAAACTGTTAAAGGAAAGCAATATTTATAACAAATTATATCTTGTTCATTAATACTGGAAAATGCTATGAATCAAAAGATAAGAAATGTCATTACAGTGATATCCTAGTTAGCCGGAATAACTGGTGCAGAGCTCTTACGGGAATGAAAGATTTCTGGGTAATAAGACGACTTTCTCAAACCCAGAAAAAATCCCACATCCCCATAATTTTTCAAGGTACCATACTGGAAAAAGTTTTCCAAAAGTTTAAACTCCGCATCTCTCATGGACAGACACTATTGCACATCCCCATGTTTCTGGGTGCAGGGGAAGTTTTCCGCGTGTCTATGCACGGACAAACACTCTCCCATTACATATAGACAGTAAGCACGAGTGAAAATATTTACAGCTAGCAAAAAAGTGTATAAACTTTATTCACAGCATCTGTTTTAATTGTGTTAGAGAGATGAATTTGATAGAAGCATTTCCCAACACCAAATCATTAAACAAAATATTTGGACATGATATAATGATGGAGACTCAATTCTTTTTATGAAAATGTGTAAGAAATGTTGATAATGGAATCAATAAAATTAGTTCTAATTAAGCTGGAAACACCATTTTTTGCCAAAATAATCTGGAATAGTTTATCTAAAAGTTTTATTCAATAAATATATTCTAAAAAAAAAAATCTATATGACAGGTGAGCAAAACATGAATGGAGCTGTGTGTCACAGCCAAGACAGTACAATTTTCCACTTTTCAATGGGGAAAATTTTCCCGAGTCTAAATGACGGATCATGCATGGAGCTAAATTTATTTATGCAAACACCACTGTACACTTACAATATATTGTTAATACTGTAAACATAAAACATGTAGGTAGAATAAAATATAATAATAATGACTGCCCTTCGTGTAATGAGAATGGCAGGCCCAAGGGCCACCAAGGCATGAATTTGTTTAAGGTGTAGATAGTGTCGCCAACACAACAACCACACCCTATTTAACGAGCTGCATGACCCAGTGTCAAGGAATAGTCCGAGAAGACCGGACAACTCGCCAACTGCACTGGCCAACCATTACCCCGGAACACGATCCGCAAATCAATTAACATCCAGGTTCCCAATTACTAATGGGTAGACAGAGGCAAATGTATGCTACTCCCATACTGTATATACATGCATTGTACTCACCAGCAGATGCTGTCCTTTTGAATCTAGAGTAGGCAGAGACTCTCCACTCAGCTGAATGTAATATGTAACAGTAAATATGCCTTAACACTTGCAAAGGAGGTGGGGTGGGGGATTAGTGGGTCCTGTTACTGGCCTGACCTGATGTAATGTCAGGTCACCCATGTATACTGTATAAACTTTTCTCTCATTTGCGGTGGAGGTGTGGTGTGGGATTAGTGGTCTCATATTACTGACCTTCTGATGCAATGTCAGGTCACCTACTGTCTGGGTAGGGGATTAGTGGGTCTCATGACCTGAAGATGTCTTGAATAAAGATGAAAACAAGGGTATTCCTGTGTTTCTACTTATTGAATGCACAGTACTATACAGGATATGTAACTGTAATCACTTGTGTCCTGGTACAGAAATGCACTGTACTGTACAAGACTAATTGTATGCAAAAACAGCAGCTAGCACTGGCAGCAGAATATGAACTAAGCAATCCAAGCAGCTAGGCCACCCATGCACCTGGCACATGGGGACACATTTATTCCTAGGCCCAGAACGGAGAGGTTTGAAGAGATTTTCTCGGAACCTTCTCAGATTTTGTATGGAAAATGCACTTGATTTTCATCCTTGGAAACTCGTTCGCAGACCCGCAATGGAGGGAGTTTTAACGGAAAATTTCTGGCCCAATTTCAACTCTGGCTATCGGAGAGTTCTGGGGATTGGGATTCCGGTTAATGGAGAGATAAGCATATTTCAATTATGAACTTTGTAACATGTGCTTTACATACACAGTCAATAATAAATTATGAATATCTCAGTACAGGCATCTTCATTCCTACTATTCCAACTTCAATAAAGATATCCGTAGTTTTACTTACTGAAATTATGGTACGCTTTCTCTCAAATCTTGAGTAAAAAAAATTAAGGCACAAACTTCATAATTAAAATGTAAAAGAAAAAGAAAAAAGTCTAGTAAAAATTAAGGGGGAGGGGACATACATATTCCATTACACCTACTCTTCCCTTCCTGTCTCTTGCAAGAAAGTTTTTTACCCATCCCATTATTTTTCAGCCTTGATTATAACATACAGTATAAAGAAATAAAAGTACGTATAATATAGCAGTTTGGAGATAACAGCTACCTATTTTTTTATAAGCACAATATCACTGAAAGGTCAGGGTGTTGGGCACTGTAGATTATTATTTTATTAATATCCACAAAGCATTGAGGGAAACTGAATTGTACTTTACTGGAAATGTCTAGTTTACAATTACTGCATTGTATTTTTAATTTGTGTTCCAAAAATTGTCAGTTGAGGGAAACTCAAGTTAAGACAATGAGAATAAATATCTTAAAATGTCTCTAAATTACAAACAATATCAAAAGTCAGATTATTACCGGTAATCATTTTTTATAATAGTGTTGATCATCTGGTTGCCGGCATAGAGAGCTTCATAGCTGCAGGGATCATCATTGGGGAGAGTTTTGGCCATATCATGCAACACCTCCAGGTCCATAATGAGCTTGTACACATCAGCATCCATTGTGCAGATTTCAGCCCTTTCAATCTTGAAGGTGCGTTTTGGATCTGGGGGACCTAAACAACAAAATGAGTTATATAGTATTCTGTACATAAACAATGATAAAAACCTAATGAACAAAACCATTTTTATCCATCTTTTACAAACAGTACATTAATACAAGCACTCTAACCTATATCATGAAAGAAGAATGAATTTAGTAAGCAAAGCAATCAGATATTTTACATGACATTAATTAATGAGCTAATCATGACTTCAATGTTGATGCCATATGTTCTTCCCCCATATTACTCTTATTTACACCAATTATTTTGTATCTAATTTGCTCCTCTTTCTTTGTCTGGAGTCCATGCCTTACACCCATAAAATAATGCATAACCCCAACTTTGCCTCCATTAATATGGAAATCTATCTACACATATTTCTCAATGTAAAGTTGGCTCCACCCCTATGTTTACCGCTTTGCATTGCCAATCCTCTCTCCCCCTGAAATGTGAACCCTGAACTCTGAAATGTGAATTCGAAGCATTCATTAGTGAGGGAAGAGGGGGAGGGATGTGTCAGAGGTAGGTGTCTTTGGGGTGGGGTACTGGGGGTGAGGAGGAAGTGTACAATGTATCAGTTAATAAGAGAGAATACAATGCAAATTCACGCTTTGACAATAATAAAAATACTGGTTACAATCGGACTAGAGGGGGATGAATTCATTGTCTAAGTAAGGTGTTCCTTTGCAAAAGGGGGCATTTATGAGCAAATGGATTATGTACAGTATATGTTTGAATCTATATCATGAAAAAGCAGCAAAGTTTTGTTTAACCCCTTGACTACGAGATGGCACTTTCCCAGCTGAATAAAATCGTCTGGCAGTAGCCAGAACAAAATAGAAAAATAAGACATTTTAATGAAGGGATTAATTAGCAATCAAAACAATCAGGAAGTGGGGACAAAATAGTTCAGCTGCCAACTGAACTATTTTTGTTCACTTGAAGTTTAAGTGGCAAACGCTAAGTAGTAAACACAGGAGTGGAGCCAGCTATTTTTGTTCCTTCCACTACTCTGGGATAATTCATTTACAGATATATCCAGTTCCTGTATACAGGTACCTGTACTTACTGATCATGCCTTCTTTTCCACCACCAAACATATTATTACAGGCCAATTCAATGTAGTACACCAGTGTTTCCTGGGAACCATTCCAACAACGGCTGATTGGGTAATCAGTTCGCGTTTGGTGAGGAAGACCACCCTCAGCATGACTGTCTACATGGTCATTTTCTGTCTCCTGTTTTTCATGTTGGCCTGACTGACTGTTTGTAGAAACATCCCTTCGTATGTGATGATGATAACCGCCAGGTGACATGCCCTGCAAAATCCATGTTGCATTCTAAATGACCATATTATATTAATCTTGTATTCATTCTGAAATATGACACATGTTAAATGGTGTTTCCTTTCAACCATATTTTATGTTAAAATATTGATGAAAAATATTACAGTATTAACCCAACATACCTTGAGAATTAAAGCATGGTATAAACATTCATACTGTACAGGTATCAGACATTATAATGTGTATACAGTATATACCTGAAGTGGTTCGCCATTCCTGCTCCACAACATAGCCTCAGCTTGGCTATTCCATTGCAACCACACCTGTTGACCTTTCCAGGAATCTGGCACTTTCACCTCAATCTGCAATTTATATAAAGAGTTAGTTTGCATGAAAAAATAATTAAAATGTATACGGTCTGTCTTGATATAAATTATGTTTACTATAAGCTTACTAGGCATAGTAGTACCTCTCTAGTTTGAAAACTATCAGGATTGAAATTTTAGCTTGGTTTAGGAATTTACAAACTACTGTATATGAATAACCTGTAATGTGAATGTAATGGTCTGTGGGACCAATGAATTCAAAACATCAGGTACATTTTTCGAATGGTCTGAAAAATGGCAGATGAAATTCAACGTGGACAAATGTAAAAAACTCAGAATAGGAGATGTAAACAGGGAAACCAGATACCAGATGAACAACGATGCCATAGAGAAATCCGACTGCGAGAGAGATTTGGGAGTAACGGTAAGTAGGAACCTTAAGCCAAGTAAACAATAAGTTTTTGCTCGTAACAAGGCTAATAAAGTACTTGGGTTCATACAAAGGAGTGTTAGTTACAAGACTAGCGAGGTCATCCTAAAACTGTATCTTGCTCTTGTGAGACCACACCTGGATTACGTAGTTCAGTTCTGGTCACCGTATTACAGAATGGATATAGAATCCTTGGAAAGAATTCAGAGGAGAATGACAAGACTAGTCCCGGGCATTAGGAACCTTGATTATAGAGACAGGTTAAAGCATCTTAATTTGCACTCCCTCGAGAGACATAGAGCGAGGGGCGACCTGATAGAGGTGTATAAGTGGAAGGCAGGGCTAAACAAAGGGGACATTACAAAGGTACTCAAACTATCCAACCAGGAGCGAACTCGTAACAATGGTTTTAAATTAGACAAATTTAGATTTAGGCGTGAAATAGGTAAACACTGGTTTGGAAACAGAGTAGTGGATGAATGGAACAAGTTACCAAATATCATCATTAACTCGAATACGCTGAATAGCTTCAAACATAGGTTGGATGCTTATATGAGCAATAGGGGTTGGGTGTAAACGGGACTGCCCAGTATGGGCCAATAGGCCCGCTGCAGTTTCCTCCATTCTTATGTTCTTATGTTAACACTGTCCTAGTGTTTCCAAATTAAATACTGTATAGGTACAGCACAAGGTTGGAAATGGAAATAATGTATAAAACAGTATAATCTGCATCATCTTAACATAGATGTAGCACAGTACAGTACACAATTGAGGTGAGGCTGGGCAGGTATACATATTATTCTAAGGACACCTAAAGTAAAGATTTATACCCCCAAGCACTAGCCCAGTGAAAGGACTGGGTAAGTACAAAGTTGATACCAACACTGATGACTCCAGTACATATTAAGGAGTCAAAAAGTTCTGTGTCAGATTTCTTCTCATTAAAATTGGGTTTGAAAATATAAACAAACTTATTTTTCAATTTATCAAACATTTTTTCATCATGTCAATCACAAAATACAAAAGAAGCTATCCGTGTTGTCATACAATATCACTTTCCAATCCATTAAACACACTTTACAAAAGTTTTATGAACTTCCCTACATATCAGAAAATCATTTAAATGATGAACCAGAATCTTTACCAAGATCATATTAGTCAAGCAGCTCTGTGTTGGTTAAACCTTCATCTCACCACTGTTGTACTTCAGTTTCATTAAAATCCTGACCTACACACACCTTTAGTAAATCTAGTAATGATTACTCTTTTGTTTTCTCCTTGAGCTCCATCCCCAAAATCCTGCTCACTAATATCAGGCCATAATTTTTGCCGCCCTCTCTGTAGTTTCCAAATTAATACCAACTCATATGTGTTTAAGTTTTGAAGAATGCATCCTGATTGTAAAGATGGAGCCAAAAATATTTTGTTTGTGCTATTCTAAAATTTTGAATGATACAGTAACCTACTGTAGACCACCAGCTGGCACACTGAACTAACATGAGCTAGCAAAAGTACTGCCCAAATATTGTCACCAGATAATACAAAGCCATTTTATATCATGTTAACAGAAACATTATCCCAAACTATTATAGCTTTTTCATGTAGATTTTTATATTCAAGATGAGTCTAATGGGACTTAAATGAATGAAAACACTGCCTGCATGGAGTGTCACACCAACCAAACAAAATTTTTTTTCTTAAAAATGTCATGTAGTCCTAGATCAAAAACTAGTTTTCATCCAAAAAAACATAAATTTCTTTTCTTTGCTGTTGCCTTTGTTAATTATTTTTACATGTTTCCTAATTTTACATTTCTTATTGAATTTTAGTGGAAATTATAAACTACAGCAATTTTCAGCACTCTTAACACAGTTTGGCTCATATACAAAATCAACACAAATTAATAAGTTTTCCAAGTAGAGATGTTCTACAGTACAGTATTTTACAGTCTCTAAAATATAAAACACTACTGTACAGTACTGAGAAGGTTGAAATACAGGTACCAGACCATTTAACTGGCAAGCTTAGGACCTGAGGTGAACTGGTTTGCTGGATTTGGTGGATTTCTGCTCCCAAACCTGGTGTGTGCTGGTGGGGGGGGATGGTGGTGGTGGAGTATTAAAAAATCCATGCAGTTCTCAGAAACTTCATTGTCAGGTAGATTTAACATGGAATAAATTGTAATAGGTTCAAATCCTTCTTATTTTGTACTTTGCATAACTTAAAAAAATATACATAATAGATTACAGTAGTATATGAAAATGATACAAAGCACATCATAAAATATAATAGTTCCTTCTGCTTTCAAACATCCTCTGGACGACACTAAGCCTGCCACCCAGCTGACTCAAAGATGTGTGGCTACTGTGTTGTGAGCAAGCCGTAACATTACACTATTAGGCTGGTGGCACAAGGCAGGAGCAATGAGAAAATAGTTCTTTTAAGCTTGGCTTAAATTTAACTAAATCAACTTGACAATCAGTGGTGAAGAGGATAAAGTAAACTTACAGCGTTTAAACTGAAACAGGCCTAACTACCAAAGTCGCCAGATGCACTGTTGACAAACCACTCACTAATTCCACACATACTTTCACCTCCCACACAGAATAAACACCAGTGATAATGATAATAACCACAAAAAGTAGAAAGAGACAAGGACACATACAGGTAGATGTCTGCTGTTTAAAATTGAGGCGCGTCCTACTGTGGCACTACCAAAAGCAAAACAAAGTGGCCAGCCAAACTTGCCAGTTTCAAAACTAACCAGGTTCAAAAACACCCAGTTTTCAGGGAAATCTGAATAAATGGTCTGGTACGTGTACCAAGAAATTTATTACCAGTTTAATCATGTTGATTATATTAAAGAGCATCTAAAACTGTAATCAAGTATTTGCCAGCAAGTCAAACACCTGAAATGAACTCCAAAAGCATTTTCAAAAGACATATATACATACCCTAAACCAATGAGTACTCCACAGTGGTCCAAAGGCTTTTCCAACTGATGTAGGTTTGAAGTCCTGAGTGATTACCTGTTTGAAGGGCCACTGTTCCCATGCAGCCTCACCACCTGGGACACACCAGTGAGACAAACCTGAAAAATCAAGTGTATAAGAACCCTACCAATTGAGATCTAGATACACAAGTTTGAGGTCTTCATTCTGCACACTCAATTAAATTTACTTTAAATTTAATTATCAGTAAATTAACTAAGGTCAACACTTTCTACAAAATAAATCCGTTAATTCTCTTCCTTTTTTTTAATTCTGAGACCCTAAATTATTTGGCACATTCATCAAATTAGTTCTTGTTTACCAATACAGTATCAATCACATACAGTACAGCAAACTCCATCTTCTTATACTTTTTCCTGTTTTACCTTAATAATGTACTTGAAACACCTTTCATATAAAGCAAAACTTTAAAACAATACAAAAAAGAGAAAATTATGTATGTATGTAAGGTACTCTAAAAGGTGAATACATTAATTATTGTATTATTACTTCAACATTATAGACCATCTACAGTACAGTAATACCTCCCCAAGCACAGGTTTACAAAGATTTTGAGGACCGGGTTTCCACATTTTATATTGTGTACAGTATTATATGTTAAAATATCTGAACTGATATACAGTACTGTATACTTACAATCAATTTCCTTTGAAAATGGATAGAGCTTTCCACGCAAGTTGACATCCCGGAACTGCTTGTCTGAGATGTACTTTTCTATACGCTCCAGGGTGGTGCGCCGGTTCTTGTGCATACTGGCTTTCACATCCTCATCCATGATTTTCTGAAACACATTAGGGAATTTGTTATATTTAAATAGTCAAAAGAAAGGTAGGTAGTATCATAGAAACTCAAAAGTAGGTTAAACTATATGGTAAAAAATTAAAAAACACTATAATCCCATTCCGTACAAGTAATTGATATATACATGCTATAAGCTACAACACTTTGGATTCCTCTGTCTTGCTCCATGTGGCATTGTATTGGAGAGAGGAGTCAGTTTTACAAAAGGGGTTGCATTCATATTTTTTTTTTAATTAACCGAGTGATTTTTCCAGGTGATTTTAATGACAGAAGGTGACTTCGGTTTCCAAGGATCTTTCTGAAGATACAGTACAATACAGTATGACGTTTCCCTCCCAAATTATTTTTATATGCTGGGGGATCCATAATTAAGAGATTAGGTTAAGTTATTTTTAGGTCATTTGTGAGGGAAAAGTCAGACAAGAAAAGTGTCTTAGAATTGCTTAAACTATTGATTGAAAATATAAAATTCTGAAGGCTTCATGGTTGTATGAAAGTCAAATTTAACGACATTTTTTAAAAGAAATAAAAGTACAAATATTTGGGAGGGGGCTCTAATATCTCACTATACATCAGGGGTCGGCAACCCCTGGCACGTGTGCCAAAGTTGGCATGTGAGAGGGTTAACCATGGCACACCAAGTGATTTTAAAAACATATTACAATATAAAAAAATAATAGTGCCATTTCAAATAAACAAACTGAGACATCAGCTCAGCTTTAGCCTACACAAAATAGGTAGCTCGGCTTATGATCTTTTTCTTGGGTACTGTATTTTCTATATCTAAGAAATTGGAGTATAATGATATGGTTTTTTTATTTTGAATATGCATTTACATTACTTTTATTGAAGTTACACAATAATTTTTCTATTAGTATTCAATCTACCGAATTTTTTTTTTTGCGGGAGTTACTCAGACCGTCAGGCACAGTCAGTGTACTTTCAGTCGCGGTAACAGAAGTTACTCGTAATTAAGTAGCCACAATGGCAGCTGCCAAGAAAGCCAAATTAGACGTTCGATCATTTCAACCCTCTTGGACAAAAGACTTTGGATTTATTCTAAAGAATGGTCGAGCTGTGTGTGCTCTGTGTTGTGAGAATGTTGTATGCCAGACATCAAGTGTGAAGAGACATTATGAACCGAAGCATGAGAAGACATTTAAGGACCATGCAGACAAGGCTGAAGCAATTAAGAAGGCAGTATCCTGCTATGAAAAACAAAGCAGAGTTATGAAGAATCTGAGTGCAAACAAAGATCATGCAACTGAGGCCAGCTACAAAGATTCTCTGTGTTTTGCTAAACATGGAAAACCATTTATTTAAGGGGATAATATAAAGGAGGTCTTTCTCAACAGCTCTCAAGTTTTATTTAGTGATTTATCAAACAAACACACAATCATCTCAAGGATAAAAGAAATGCCTGCTGCAGCCAGGACTTTAGAGAGGCGCATATCAGACATGGCTGCAAATATAAGAGAACAGCAAACTGTTGCATTAACAAATGCAATTGTGTTCAGTATTGCTGTTAATGAGAGTGTTGATGTAAATGACATACCACGTTTGGCTATTGTCGCCAGGTACAGTGACACAGAGGTACACGAGCAGCTATGCTGCAGGACTATTGAATTTTCCGAACCACAGGTGGTCTTTGTAAAATACATAGTATTATTGTTGTCACACAGTTTTAATGTAAATGATGTCAGTAAATATGTATGCAAAAGGATAAAGAAAGAAATATGAAAATGAAATACCTGTACAGGTAATGTATTTCAACTACAGTAACATAATACAGTACAGTGTAATTGTAATAAACAAAAATAGATAAACAATAACTTCTCATTCTGCAATTAAAATGACAAAATAGTTACGGTATCTGTACCTGCACATAAATTGGTGATGTTCACCTGTAAAAAAGACAAAATATCTGTACAGTTAATGAAATAATAAAGTAAAGAAAATAAAGAACAAATAAGGAAAAATTAAAAACTGTTTTTCCCTTCCATCAGTGTTTTACGCATATCCACATACTGTACTTTTTAGTGACAGATTCACTATAAAACTTATAAGGATTTGAAGTTTTTTGCTTCTTGACACCACACACTCTAGATGATCCAACATTGTACACATCACATAACGCACGGACCGATACGCCACAGTCCAGTTTCTTCAACAGTTCCACCTTCTGTTGTATCGATCAGATACATGTTTGCGGCATTTGGAAGCATTTCCTGCACCAGTATCACCTGCTGGTCGCTTAGGAGGCATATTAAGGGTAAATAACAAGTGAAATATTACAGAGATACTTGAAATACCGAGGAACATACCATACTCCACGAGGATCAGATGTAAACAAAGGGTATGCCGAACCATGGATACTAACGCCAGTGGGTACTAGAGACCGTCCGGCAAACTAAAATTTTGCCGGACGACGGGAGGTGCCAGACAATAGAGTACCGGATTAGGGAGATTCAACGATATTGTTAAAACGTTCATTGATCATTTTGAGGAGAGAGGGGTTGATATTAAAAAAATATTTGCAGTTACAAAATTTAACGCAGTCCAAATTTTTTAAAATATATATTTTTTCCTTTTATTCAAAACTTTACAACTTACATATATACATAAATATTACATATTAATATATATATCAGTGAAATATTTGGATCCCTTTTAGATCCGACAATTCTAAGACACTTTTCTTCTAAAAAAGAGTTTCCGTCGGAAATTCACTTTTTTCGAGTATTTTAATAAAAAAAAAAGAATACCAACAATATTACTTATTTAAAAAGGGCAGGGCTTTGAAGTATAGGAAGGAAAAAAACACTAAACAAACTCTTGAAAACCTGGGTAATATTGCAGTAAACAGCAACCACAGAATTCCGGAAATTCACTACATTCAATCAATAGAACTATTTTTCTATGATCATTTTCTTATATTACATTAGGTTAAGTTAGGTTAGGTAAAAAAAAATTATCAAATCCTTTGGTTGCTGTAATCTGCAATTTTACCAAAACCTGACCAAACGTTTCCGAACCTTTAAAAATTCTAAAATTCTAAAGTTTATCTTATTCGTGTTTTTGGTGTTTAGTGGGCGAGTGTTGTATTCAGTTTTTAGTATGTTGGTGTTGTTTTTTGGTGTTCAGATGTGGAGGGATCCATAAACTCTTAGTGATTCTTAAAAAAGATACAAGTTAGGAAATGTTAGATAAGGTTTTCAAAGGGTTTGTGAAGTGTTTTTTCAGCATTTTACCCTACATTTTCCCTCTACTTCAAAGCCCTGCCCACTTTGAACAAGTAATAGTTGGAAATTTTATTGGCTAAAATACTTGAAAAATGTAAGTTTCTGACGGAAATGCTATAGAAGAAAAGTGGGTATTATTGCGTTTACACACCGTTCATTCCTACCACTAATGTATTATCATATTCGAATAAGACGTCTAATTATAAGATAATTTTCATCTATTACATTACCGGCGGAAATGTATAATAACGGAGATAGCTTTTCCCCCTAAAATTCTATTTTCTTCCATTATTTCCCGCCATTATCGTCTGCCTCTCACCCAACACTGCGTGTCTCTCGCGTCTCCTTCATAAATCATGACGCGCATGCGTATCCGTACACGTCACGCGGCCAATCAAAAGCGTTTTTGCTAATTCAGAGTATATTTGGCCCAATGAAAATCGAGTTTTATTTTGGATCTCTCATATTTTGAAGTTCAAGTTCAGTTCCAACCATGGAAGTCTGCGATGGATGTCACCTAAAGTATATGGAGCTGATTGCGAGTTTTAGGAAAAAAAAACGTAGAAACTATAGCATTTTTTCGATCGCATGGTGTTCTTCCAACTTCAGTAAAGTGTACTAAGAGCAAGACGGAATGTAAATGTCGCAAAGACCAACATATGTGGAGTTGGGTAAGAATCCCAGAATGCAACGACGAACAAGAACCAGGCCAATAAGGTAAGAAATAGGTGATTCCATCATATGGTGAGAGTCAGTTAAGTTAGGTCAGGTTGGGTTTTTGTTTTTCTAGTGTTTTTTGTGTATTTTTTAGTTGCTTAGCCACGTTTTTTTTCTCGGAAAACATCAAACGAAAAAAAAAATCGCAAAAACACCCCGGCTAATTTCCGCTTAAAATGAAGGTCGTATTCGGTCTAAACACACACAAATGCACTAGAAAAATAAATTTTTTATTTGCTAAAAGTGAACGGTGTGGCAATGCAAATTTACCGAAAAGTGTCTTAGAATTATATAAACTGTCGATTCCAATACTAATTAAAACCTAAAATTTGCGACATGACCAAAACTATAATAAAACCCTGAAGTCAACTTCTCAGAAATTACTATATTTTTTAACAAAGACTAAGAGCATCTTAAATTAAAAGAAAATGATAGATCATTCCACACATGTTATTCGTACAAGCCACTACAGCTATGCAAAACACTTATCTTAAACCCGGTTGTAAGGTCTTGTTATTCCTAAACCTTTCGTTATATCCATTACTTCTGTTGACTGTGTCTGAACACTTTACTTTACCCTCTTCACCACTGATGGCTCGTTAGTCGCTTGGGCGATCGGTCACGTCTCAATGAAAGTTTCACATCACTATTTAAAACACGTAATGATCTTAACCGCCACAGAGTGAAAGCAACAGTATTGTATAATGCTTGCTAACCACTTGATGCTGGTCACGTATTTCAGTCTTTAATTCTTTTCGACAAGACGTCTCGACTGTAGGCATGGCTCGGGCATAACAGGATCCAGACTGTATCTGAACTTGTGCCAGTGCCGTCCCAACATTATCTGGCAGATTATTCCAAGAGTTCACACAATTTTGACTCCAAAAAAGTTTGCTCTTACAGTATTCTGCACTTGTAATACAAGCGTTCTAAAATGTCTAGGTGCCCAAGGTGTCGAGTGCAGGACAACTTCTGTAGACAGATAAGGTCTTCACTCATGCACTGATATCGTGCGGCGGTAATCTAACGCACTCAGACGAACGAGTAAAATATCGGGTATAAAATTTAACTATAGAATTTCACTAAATAGAAATAAATACTTACCAAATTTAATTTACAAAAATATAATTTGGGGTCTTCTTAAGCGATGAAGAACACTGTCACGGAGTATCAACGCAATAGGGACGAGTAATCGGATGATCAACTTGGCCCTGGGATGCCTGTACTCCACCTCCCTTTGTTACCAAGTGACAACAACGGTGCAGTGTGCACAGCGAGTCAGCAACCGGTCTCCCCAGCCCGGCTCACAAAGTCACCCTTCCTTGAAGCTGTTCCGAGCATTCTGAACCAGTTTGAACCATAATATACCTTTTTCCCTTGACGATTTGTCTGAAAGATTAAAAAAATATATAAATATTGTTGATTACGATTCATACAAAGGATGCTTTGTTAGTAATTTGTTCTGTTATTCACTAGCCAAAGTATTTGAATGGGTAAAAAATTTTGAACGACATAAACAGGGAAGCCTAGCATAGACATCCATTTCTGATTGTATTAGTTTTCTCTCAAAAGTGAAAGCTGTTTCAGTTCTGTTAGGTTGACACAGCAAATCATGGGTGTACATAGGTGACCAGACTGGTGCCTGCACTTCGGCACCTCAGCTACCCTGAGAGATTGGAGCGCCTGAACTTGCCTAGCTTATACTACAGACGGGCAAGGGGGGACCTAGTTGAGGTGTATAAACATCTCAGGGGGCACTACTCAGTTGAGTGTCCTTACTTGGAGCTGGCGGACGCTCGCCCCACAAGGGGTCACAGCTCAAGATTGAAGAAGCCGCAAGTCCAGAAAACTGTGAGGGCAAACTTTTTCGGAGTGAGAGTTGTAAACTCTTGGAACAATCTACCAGAGAGTGTTGTGACGGCACCAAGTGTGAGCTCTTTCAAGACAAGACTTGACCAACACTGGAGCGAGTTCAGGTACATTCAGGAGCAGGTGCATGCCCAGTATTTGCCAACAGTGCGTGAGAGACGTGACCGATCGCCCAAGCGGCTAACAAGCCGATCAGTGGCGAAGAGGATACAACGTAAAACGAATATTAAGTTACTAGTTGTGGCACAAATTGGTCGAGTAATATTCAATTCATATTCGAGCTTGTGAAGCCTCGAACCTGCCCGAAGAAACGGCTTGGTTTCCGTTGGTTGTGTTGCTAGGCACACCAGTGATGTTGTAGTGGATTTCTCCCCTACAAACGCTGTTTGTCGCTGAGTAGCCGACCACGCGAATTCCTCAGTGTGTCTCGTGGTCTAGGTCAACCAGTGCCGCCCACGGAGCGGGGGTCAACTACTAAGCCACGCCTACCCCCGCTATTTAAGACCTGACCTCGTGGTGACCTCTCTCTTTTCTACCTACACCAATCCAGCAAGCAACACCACCTCCGCCGCTGCCCGGCGGCCCTCGCTCCCGCCGGCGAGCATGGCGACCCACAAGCTGTGCTCCTCTGAGCACCCTCACCAACCAGCTCTCTCTACATCACGCTTGTAACCACGCTGCCACTTCCCAGCACCAAGCTGCATTGTACATCCAATACAACATGTATACAGAGAGCACATTGTGAGTTTCCTTTCTCCATCCCATCCTGAGTCCGAACAAACAACCCGAACCCCACAATGTACTGTACTTGTTGCCACACTCCAATTTCTTATTTAATTTACTGGTTCTACAAAAATAATTCATAATTATTTTTAATACTGTATCATGAATTGCCTGTATCTTAACACGCAGAGGAAAATTTCACTGTTGTTGTGATGGAAGCAAGTACTACAATATTTTTTTTTGCTAGCGAGTCAATAAAACCTTGGGTCCCTTTTACATAACAGGAAAAGCACTGCACCAACTCGCGGGTTAATTCCATGTTAAAACGTTGAGTAAAGTCAAATTTACTATTGTAGTAATGTTTCATCAAGTATAAAGACCCAACAACACAATAAACTGCTTGTGGATCAATGACACTGAAACAATAAGCACTGACCCACATTGTGTTCACAGAAGAGGGTATTAGAAATAAACTGTCCAGGCTAAAGGTCCATAAGAGTCCTGGACCTGACATGGTGCATCCTAGAGTGCTAAGAGAGCTGTGCAACGAGCTTGCAGAGCCCCTGAAGATTCTGTTTTGTAAATGCCTGGATGAACAAATGGTCCCTAGTGAATGGAAAGTGGCTTATGTGAGTCCTATCTTCAAGAAGGGCGATAGTCACTCCACGAACAACTATAGACCGGTGAGCCTGACCAGCATAATATGTAAAGTACTTGAGAGTATTATCAGAGATGCAGCGATGGAACATCTACTACGAAACAACCTTGTAAAAGATTGCCAACACGGTTTTATGCCGGGGCGCTCTTGCTTGACACAATTGCTCAAGGTATTGGATATTTGGACACATATTCTAGAACGGGGTGGTAATATCGACAATATTTACCTAGATTTTGCCAAGGCTTTCGACAGTGTACCCCACGAAAGGCTGAAAATCAAACTGGAAGGGTACGGAATTCGGGGAAATGTCCTAGCGTGGATAGAAGACTTTCTACATGACCGCAAGCAATGTGTGGTGATTAATGGCACGAAATCGTCATCTGTACCTGTAACAAGTGGGGTACCGCAGGGTAGTGTATTGGGCCCGCTGTTGTTTGTTTGTTTCATAAATGATATGCCTGACGTTGTACACTCCTCCATACAAATGTTTGCCGATGATGGCAAGTTATTTCGGG